AAAAAACCTAGGGATTGGAGATTTGCTGCAAACAACGGCAAGTTAGTTCAGCGTCGGAATTTTGCGACGCTATATATATGGTGTCAAGGCCACAAAAGGCAACAAAAACCTGGCACAGCGTGGAGGGCTTCGACGTTAACAGTTGCCGGCCATGGCTTCGACATTAACAGCGTGCGCAGGTTATTCGGAACTCGCCAGTACTTAGGAAGCAACAGTGGTTCGTGACTTGGCTTACTAAACACAAGGAAAGGCCAATGTCCGATCAAACCCGGCTGATCAGTGTCGAGAAGCCGCGAGTGGCCGCGAGTTTGCGAGGCCAAAAAGCGAGGAAGCCGACAAGGCCCAGTCATCGTACGCATGTTATCTGGAAGCCCAGAAGCCAAGAAGCGAAGAAGCCCAGAAGCCAAGAACTCGAGAAGCCAAGCTGCCCAAAGCCAAGAAGCCAAGAACCCGAGAAGCCAAGAAGCTAAGAAGCCGGCAAGGAAGCCTAGAAGCCAAGAAGCCAAGAAGCCAAGAAGCCAAGCCGCCCGGAAGCCAAGAAGCCAGGAACCCAAGAAGCCAAGAAGCCAGAAAGCCAACGGAGCCCAGAAGCCAAAAAAAAAAGCGGAGCCAGGCAGCACAGAAGCCAAGAGCCCAGAAGCCGAAGGCTGCCAAGCGAGGAAATAGGCAGATTACCTCGTAAACGCTAAATTTGGTTTTGATTATTTCTATTGTTTTGATCCTTCCTAAATTTTTGTTTGATCCCTTTTGAATCTTTTTGACCCCCCTCCCCACACACACCCACACACACACTCGAGATCGTCAGCTCCTGGCCCTTTTCGTGGAGTTGACATAGAACAGAATGCAAGATCTTCTTCCGGCTTTGTGTGTGTGTGTCGTGCGATGCCCCAGCAGACCTCCCATAATGAGCCGGCTTCTTTCCTGGAGCGACTCCACCGTCTTAGTTCCATGCCTTGGGCTGTCGCTTGCCTGAGCCCCTGATTCTATGGACTGTGTGCTCCGGGCCACGCCACAATCCTAACCCTTATGTGTGTAGTCGGGCTCTTTTCGCCCGGCTTTATGTGACAAGCCCATGAGAGGACATGCGAGCGAAAGCTACTGTACGCGTTGCGACACGCTCTGCTGAAGGATCTGTCTGACACATCTTCGAATCGTTTCATGAGGTCCGGACTCCCCTGGGCTCAGAAGACCATCGAAGTTCGTGTCGGAATCTTTGAAGGCTTGACCCCGGTACGCCTTCGTTCGCTTCTAAGTCTTCTGCTTTCTCAACAGACGCAAGCTGTGTGACGGACCCGCGTCCCGGCTTCCACATCACTCCTCGAGGAAGGCAGGCTTGATGTGAAAGCCGGCAAAACATCAACCACTCCTTGCCTGAAATTCGTCAGCCAGGTGCCCACACCTAGCACAAGCCCAGACGGAGACACACTGGCTACTGCTTGATGCTCTTTCAGGGATACTGGCTGCAATCGTACATTGGAGACGAGTACCGGAAATCGTCTGAAGCCTTGGTGCTACGGAGTGCTGCATCAATGCTGCAGCTACGTCTTCGCATGTATCATACTTCCACCTCACTGCTCACCCCTGGCAGCTTGCGGCTGCGCAGCAGCCATCATGTCGCTGCCAACACTTCCAATTGCTGAGGAGAGAGGACCTTGCGGAAGCTTTCAGAAGATATCACAGTAATCCGGCTTAAGTGGGTCATTAAGTAGGCAGCCTCGCAGCAGGAAGACCTAAGCAATGCAGGCATAACTTGTCCAAAGCACATTATCACGACGATTCGATTGTGCAAGCGCTCATAATTACGGTGAATGTTTAGAGAGATCCACGATTCGTAGGAACAGTCGACTAGCTAAGTCATTCGACGGGTAGCCTTGCTTCTTTGTGCAAGCGCAGAGTCTTTGGGGGCCCTAACTGCCAACGATGCCGGCGTCCCCACAAGTGTTCGGAGTTGATGTTCATGCTGAGCGAGAAACAGTGCTACGGTCTCAACCGCCTAGCTGCCCGATGCTGCTGTGAATAGGAATCGTGAAGTGAAGCATTGTAATGCACCTTGTTATATGTCTCGGCTCCAGATCAACATAAAATGCACTCGTGTTGAGCAGCTCCAGCCCCACCCAACAACAACATTTGCTACGCATTTTCTGTCTGTGTGTGTGTGTGATTGCGCTTGTGTGTGTGTGTGCATGCCTATAGTGAGGGCCTGGTGCCCTGCATCATGCCTGCGCTCCAAACTGATCGGAGTTCTCACTGCCCCGACCCGCTTAGATCCGAGACATTCCCAGAAGGAACCATGCCCCTTGAGACCGAGGAGCTGAGATCGATACACATGTCCTAGACCCTCGTCATCACAGGGATCCCTGTCTTAGGGTGACGACCGTTCCAACTCACCGCGTCGCTGGTGGCCGTTCAGTTTCGGTTTTGCCGCGCTAAGAACGAGTGGCGCTGGCACAGCGGCACAGCCCCTCCGTTCAACCCCTCCACCAGGCCCCACGGCTGTCGAAGACGCTTCGTCAGCCGGTCCGGTCGTGAATGAAGCCGCAACATGCTCAACGCACTTCTTTCTGGGTATTTCAGAGGGGACCTCCCTTCCAGCATGTCTGAAACTGAGGCTGCTGCAAGCAGAAGTGCCAACGTCATGCCCAGAACGCACAAACCTGAGTGGCAATCACAGCCGCTGCCGAACCCCCTCTAGAACGAAGCCGATGCCAACATAATCGGGCCGGCAGCGAAAAGTCTCAAGCTGTTCAAGTTAGATCACATTCCAACAAGCTTGCATTTGCAGCCACAGCACACCAGCAGCAGCACATTGGACTTATCCTCCGCGTGGGAACCTGTCAAAGGATATCCAAAGTCGACATAAGTCGGCAGAGGAACTGAGACGAATGACAACACCCGCCTCCGTTATGGAATAGGCACCGCCAGAGACCTGCATGTACTTCTCGACCTGGAACCGGTAACCAGCCAGTTGCGTGTCTCGCATGTGTCTCAAGCGGCTCTAGCCATAGACATACCCTGCACCTTCTCATAGTTTCCATTGCCCTGCCCAACATACGTCCTGAGCAACGTCACTACAGCCCCTCCATGACCAAAGTGTTTCGACGAACGCAGAGCTGAGAGTCGCGCCAGTGCTTTTGACTCTCCCCCATGTCGTCCATACAAGCACCTCCTGACCACCAGAGCCGGCAGCATCTCGCGTAGCGGCATAGCATACTGACCACCGACTGCAAGATCCCCTGAGGCAGTCTCCACACCCTCCGTCATCGATGCAAGGGCCTGGGAAAGACTACGGTCGCTGTCTACCCAGAACGGAATGCTGGACTGTAAGGGCAAAGCCGGAGACAGAAACATTCCTGCAGACTGCATCACTTAAGTCAGACTGAATGCCTCCTCGAGAAAAAAACCCTTGTGCAGCCCGTCCTCGATGGCATAGTGCCAAAAATTAGTCCAGCCTCCAGGAGACTCAGCTGAAGCCAGCCTACAGTCTACAGTGCAGTGTTCAGGGCCTGCGGCCCCAGAGTCTTGACTGGGATCCCTTGAGCCGTAAACCGCAACAATCGGCTGGCTTTGGCACGTCTGTGGCACACTGCTAAATACAGATTGCTTCTCGGAGCAACCAATGCCGCCGATGCCGTGCTTCCTCTTTTGCTCAAGCGCAGGCAAGCAGGTGGTCTGTCTGGTGCCTACCGCTCACCTTGGTCCGAGAGGCCAGCAGATGGCTTGAGGCGCGGAAAAAAGCACAAAAATAAACTTCGTCAGGCACACGCCCAGATGAAGTTGCACGCAACCTGCTTACGGCACGGTCGCCGCAAGTGACCTGCATGGCCGGCGCAAGCGAGGCTTTGCTACGAAACCACTCAAGCCGACTGAGAACCGCACCTCTCCGAAAGCGTTGTTCAGAGGTGTGGCACGTGCAGGCCGCTGAGCATGCAACGAAGAAGTCAGCAGGCATCGCCGATGTCTGCAAATACACTGAAGGAAGCAAGTGTGACCGAGCGTGACACTCAAACCGACTTGCTGCAAGCGAAAGACTTCGACCAGCGAGTGAATGTGAAAGCACTTGCCCAAGTCGTTGCATTGTACATACATTTACTACGCAAAGGAAGCAAAGGTCCGCATTCAAGACGCACAACTGCCTCTTCCCCAGTTGTCATGGTTCTGAATGCTTGATATCACCAGCAGGTTCCTGTGCTGTTCCCTTCATGCTCACTCTCTTCCTGGATCCTCCAAAACCCCGAAACTTGCAGATCAAATTTGTTTTCCGATACTGGGAATGCATCAACAAAATGAAAGCATGATTGTGAAATCATTGTGATGATCTGCAGTAATGCAGACACTTCTTTGCAGACGAGATTCATGGATATAAAGGCGCGACGCTCACGCTCGTCAGGCAGCTTACTGTCTGGAGGACAGCAAACAAAATCACATAACACACACACACACACACATCGACGACCATCCTTGGCTCGCCGCACTTTGGTCACGAACTCAAGCGCTCTTCTCCAAAAGATGCTCTCTAACTCTCGTCGTCTCTATAAAACTTCAAATTGATGTGCCCACCGTTGTCATCAGACAGTGGATCAAGGTTCTGATAAGTCTGCTTTGATTGATTTGCTCATCATCTCTGTCTGTCTCTTCTGCGGTGTCCCAGCGCAGGACCGACGACATTCTGGTTCTGCGACGTACCCATGCCGAGACTTACCGGGCCACCACCCTTCCGTGCTGAGAGCCTCCAGATGCTTCAGCATTTCGTCATCGACGACCTGCCTTGGTCGATTTCGGAAGGAGAACGGCAGTCAACAGGAGACGTCAAGGACCCAACTTCACGATATCATCATTTGCCGTGATGTTGCAGGCTCCGCCTGACCTGCAGCTAAGCTCGGAACAGACGGAACTCATCCGAGCAATCTTTGCTTGAAAAGGCCGGGCGGCTTGAAGAAGTCAACAGCGCCAGAAGAAGGGATTTGCGTGTTCAGAAGATTGCTGCACTTCAGCTGGAAGCCTTACACAACTGCAATGGCCAAGTCTTGCAAAGGACACTTACATGCTAACACTGATGTGAAGCTGTGCAAGAAGCTCGAGGTGTCGGTCGAATCCTGACACCCAAGCTCTTCATGGCCATCCGGACAGTTGCACCTCGGAGATTTGCACCCCCAACCATGGCTTCAGAAAATCTCGCCGTTGGCTTGAGGGCAGGTCCCATGTTTGGAACGGGGAGGACAAGAAATCCCCACTTCCAGGGCGATCCGGGGGATATTCAGTACGCACTGAGTTCCCAACTCGTCTCCCGGCGCAGAACCAAACTTGGAAGGCTGGCATCCGTGGATAGTTCCTGCGCAGGCAGCTTTTGCACAGCAAGGCCACAGGCCCTATTCACCACGTGGGACCTCCCTGAAAGTTGGCAAAGCGCACTGGGTCCTCCAACGAAAACAGATTCGCAACAAATTGCAATGACGACAGCAATAGCTTCGGCGTGTTATCACTGTCTCCTTGAACCGTTTCAGAAAAAGCGCTGGCAGCCCCTCCGTCACGCTAGACTGTGCCTCCTCGCCTGAATGCATCTTTGTTCGGATGTGCTATGGAGACGGCCCTGACAAGCAGCTCTGGCCCGGGCAAAGAATCCGGTCCTGCGAATGCGCGTGACACGGCAAGCAAGTCGCTTCGAAGCGACATTTGCCGCAAGGAAATCGTCCTCGCCAGCCTTGTCTAGACTGTCCCGGAGTCTGTGGCAAGCTGCATCGAGCCTTGCTTGCCAGACGGAACTGTCAAATACTGTCAATCTAGGCAGGCCCTTGGCATGCACCACTGAGCATGCGACGCGGCCTGTCCGTTTTGCCAAGTTGAATCCAACTGCTGTTTCAACCTGGTGTTTCATAGCCCTTCGTCGCAGGCGATGTGCTCGCACAAATGACAAATGTTGCGCCAATTTGACGACAATATGCAAATTCGGCAGGCCGTCAACACACGCCGGGACGGCACGTGAGCTCTTCCGTATGTTCGCTCCTCGCAATAAGCTTCGCAGCTAGTTTACATCTTGAACACACATGACCATGCTAAGCTCTGAGAAGTCAGCCATAACTTCTCGGCTCTTGCCCCATGCCTCGAATGCCACGGAGATCAAAATCTCAGCGCGTCGATTCTCACAGTCCATCCACGGTCTAGGAAGCGAGACGGCGTTCATGGACTCGATGGAACCACGAAGACCGTCCTGCTGCACAGGTTGTTGAATGCTGGTGTATGTGTGCGTGTGTGTGTGTGCATCTATGCCGAACCATCGCTGCAAGCGAGGATTTAGCAGGGATGTCCAGGTGTTCTTGCAAAGCTGATGCTTGCTCGAAGCTGGAGCGCACTCTCCCTGACACTCAGAACACGTGATCAGCGTGCAGCAAACCAAATCTCGAATACTGTGCACAACATGCGCCTGCGCCTGCACGTCGTGGCAAAGGCGCATCAACGACAGATGTTGACCTCCAGCGACGAAATGCAGTTTAAGGAGTTAGAAGCGGTACATGCGAAAGCCGTCGTCCGCACGTGAAGACATCAGGCATCTGCACCATTGCAGCGAAATGATCTAAACGGTGGATCGGTTGGTCCATTGTTGCATCAGCTGTGTCCGCAAACCATCAACGGCTGCATGCACCGCTTGAACCCGCATGTGCTACAAACCGACTTCAAAATCGCTTCATGTCAGAACCATTTGCGGCCCATGTCATCTATATTCAAGTCGTAGATTTGGCTTTATGATGCACTCGGAATGGAAATGGGCAGCTGAGACCACGCAGCAATGCTCAGCATGGTTGTTTCTCCAAACAAGTCACTTGCCATGCCGGTGGTTTGCCATGCCTCTGGACGGGCGGCCGGGCAGCCGTTTTGGCGGCTCTTTTGTGGGGCCTTGTGTGAGCTATAGTTTTGGCGCCTCAAAAACCATACAATAAGCCTTACAACCGACATCCCAATATCCCGGTGAAGCACCCTGTAAACTTTTTCAGCGAGCTTCGAAGATCTTCGAAGATGCTTCATATGATAAATTCGAACTTATGTCTTCATACTGGCAACATACGAAATGGGAATTCGAGAATTTTCTGCAAAATACCCCGGAGGCTGATGCGGAGCCCGCAACTCTTTGAAAACGCGGCGATGAATGAGATAAGTACACCCTATGCCCGAAACCGTATTAATGTTAATACGATAGCCACGTTGGAATAACACCTCACATGTAGGGTCTAGCCCAAAAGAGCCTGCGGTTTTTACTACCAGCCACATAGGATCGAAGAGACTCGCTTCAGAATTTGTTGGAGCCATGTTTCGAGAAGCTCTCACATGCGTGGAAAAGAAGGCACCCTGGCAATGGGCGAATCCGCCCCGTTGTCTTGTTCAATATCAAACCCAGCTGGCCCGAATACAAAGAATGCACCGAAGTTTACGGCTGCTAGACTTTTCGGGATCAACGGGGTCCCACTTAAAGGTGGGATCAATCGCAAAAGACAGCGGTCCGTAGTTCCTCTGAGGAACCTAATTGGAATCTTCAGTGCTACGCAGAAAAGCCAAGCCAATGTAGTATCATTATAGTTGTTTTGTGAGGGCTCCTTGTCTCACTGCTGTTATGAATGTGAAATGCCCCAGAGGCCAAGAGCCAGTTGATTGGGGTTTCATTGAGAATAAATTGCAACTGAATCTCCGCTGAGTCAATACAGTTTAGATTTTAGAGTTTTGTCCGACCGTTTGATCACAGCATGCTATCCGCTTGGAGCTAGCAGCTACATTCTACAAGTTGGCAAAGAGGTCCAAACCATAAACCCGAAACCTTAAACCCTAAAACCCACTGACAGCGACCACCAGAAAACCCTCCCAACTTGACCGTTTTTTCAGCTTGGGTTTGGGGAAGTGCAATCTTTCCCTTAATACCCCGCCACCCTCTTGCACTGAATATTCCCGGTACGATGTAACATACTCCAATGATTGGGAATTATGAAGGGGTCGCGATTCCGAATCTGCCATACTTTGATCGAAGACTAAGCCCTCTAAGCAGTGAGGCGGGTCGCCACCCACAACTGTCCTGCTCGAAGGAGGGACCACAAAGCAAAGGAGCCCGGCCGTCGTTCTAGTCTCGTCGGACAACAATCGGCCCAAAAAATGCTTATCTAAGCTATCTAGATTATAGTTTCTTTAAACTTGAGACACTCTTAATCGGTTATCAATAACTAAAGAAACAGATTCATATAAAACACAACAATAAATTATGTGAAGTCTTTTTCGAAAAAAAGAGAAAGTCTTCAAATCGAAATCAATAATCAGAAATCTAAAGCTATAAGCACAATTAAAGCACAAATACATTCAATCTTCTCGTATAAGACGTCATCAAAAATTAAATATTCTATGTACTTGTAAATAACAAAGTTCATCAGAATCAGAAACTTTATGATAACAGAATGATAGCCTTCTCAAACCTTATGAAATATGACAAACTCAGAAAAACGAATGACATTTATTTCCGTAGTATTTCATGAATCATGGTTGGAATAAATAAAGTAGCACCTCTGAATTTAGGGAGATTCCGAAACCTGACAAAACGAGATTGTGATGGGCTTTTAAGTATTTGTACACTGCACGTCGATTCTTTCATACAGGCATCAGCTTTAGCGAAGGCCTTCATGGTGCTTACACAGATGGAAAGCTCACGGGCCCCCAAAACTAAAGATCCATCGAATCCTTCACAAGGGTTGCGGCTTTTGCGGCGCGAACGCAACGAGCATCTTCAACCACTAATCATTTGGCCTGGCAGTGCCACGCATGCCAATTGCTCTATCACGCAGCTGACCATCACACGTGCTGAAATGCAGTCGAGAAGCTGATACAAAGGTTGTTCGGGATACAGGAACGGATCCCGTTGAGGGGGCGGCTCCTGGCGTATACATGTCGTTAAACTCGCTTCGTCCGCCGAGTCCCCAACTCTCGAGTCCTGTATCGTGACGGGGTACTCGACACCAGGCACGGGGACAAACGTGGGGTATGGCCTCGATCATTCCGTGCGCATTGCTTGCTTCGTGTCGCGACTATTGAAGACAAGTTGCAATCTGATGTGGTTGTTTTTCAACGCCGTCTTGCCACGAGCATCACTGATCTTGACCACGCTTCCCTGGACATCTGCACATGTGGCTGCATGGGTTGACCCTCTTCGTTTCACATTTTGAAGCACCTTGTATCCAGGCAGAGCCCCCTTCAGGAAAATCAGGTTGCGAGTGCTTTCTATTCGAAATACCTCGGCGATGAACCCGAAGCTGTTCACGGCGTTGCATAAAGGCATGATGAACTGCCCGGTCGGCTGAAGCGCAAAGAAGCCAGAGGCCGCAGCTTTCGCATTGACGCAGCGAGGATCCGGACCTGCAGCTGGGAAGTGAGCAACAGTGCGCTCAGCGCCTGCGCAGCCAATGGCCTTTGTGTCCGGCCATTTTCTTGCCGACCCAGACTTTTCCGATACCGCGTTGGCCTCAGAGAGACGCGGAGTGTGCACTTCCGCCTCGCAGGAGCGAAGGCGGGCTCTGGGCTAGCGGCCAAGAGAGCCAGCAGAGCGGTGGGACTTTTTGTGTCCGTGGAAGTCTGAACCGCCACCTGAAAATCCCCAACCTCAGGAGTCTGAGTTGGTTTTTAGATGATATCAGGGGTGAACATGTCTCGAAGGGTCGGAGACTTGGGAACATGCGCTTCATCACTCCGTGATAGCCTCGACCCTTGCTCCATCCAGATACAAAAACCTGGACTCACCAAGGCACGATCTCTGCGAGAATGTGCCAGAGAATGTGTCTGAGTCTCTGGCCCACTGTCCAGGGACAAAGTGCCTCACGCTTAACCCAAGTCCTGTCGCAAACAACGTGATATCAACACGCTTGGAAAGGACTGGTGGCAAACCTCTACTACATCTTGTTGCAAATCCTCGTGCACGCTAACTCTTGGCAGGAGGGATGAGTATGATGGGAGTACGAGAAACACCTCCTCTGGGATGCACTCGACGTGGCTGTTCAAGCACAGTCACGGTTAACTTCAGCGCGCAGTGGGCTGTTGCGAATCTCCTGTTTTCAAGGACAACCAGGCCTTGGTGGTGGGATTGCGAACTAGACAACGCAATGCCAGAGCTTTCAAGCGGTCTCCGGGCACTGAGACTGGAATCAAGGCGCAGGAGAGATGTGCCAAAACGCAGTCATGGAAAAGCAGGTCCTGGTGGCAGAAGACAGTCTGAGGAAACCCGAAACCTGAGAGCAAGCGACACTGCGAGAGCTCACATTTGCTTCTGGGAGCCAGACTCACATTTGTGGTGCTTCGGCCCAACACCTGCCTTCATGTAGGTGCCGATTTCCTGAGCTTCTCAAAGTTGAGCAGAGCCCAGAGCCCATCGAAGTGCTGAGGAACTCGAACTCGGCACATGGCCGGCCGGCTAAGGCGGTGGATTGATCGGTAGCCGAGCCCAAGCTGCAAGGCCTGGCACCAGCACCAGAAATCACAGAGAGGAGAGGGCGCCTTCAGCGAAGGAGCACTGCCGCTCCTCATAGCCATTCTTCTGCAAAGTCATGCTTTGCCTGCGAAGCGTCGGCGTCTTTCGCATATGAGCCGTCGTGTGCATCTGGAAACCATGAACTTAGCAGCTTAGCACTTGGCACAACATGTAGCCGGTCCAACTGACAGACGGTCACCATATGCTTCACACCCCACTCCTCAGATGCAGATCTTCTTGCGACAGCTTTCACCAATGCTACATCCATGGGCTGAATCCCCTGAACACCTCCTCACGAAGAACCCTTCGACGATCCGGTGGCTTGAACATTGCCGGGACGAACTGGGCTGAGTTGTCAGGTCTCAAACTTAGGCAGACCCGAGCCAGCGACTTTGTCAAAAGTCGCAGTCGGGGGCAGGTGAACATCCGTTGGAGGGGTGTGACAACTCAGCCAGGAATCGTCCCACAAAGACATACATCCGATTTTGTATGCCAGCCTGGCACAAATGGGAGATGCTTCGCAGTTGCCGTTTGAATGAGATAGGCAGCATGCAGGAGCGCGTGCTTCTCAGGTTTGCGCACTCCGGTGCGCTTGGAGCCGAGAACCGGCTTGCATGGCTTGATGCCAAAGTCGTTCGTCAGCTGCTCCTCATCCAGTCTCAGCTTCTTATTGTGATCTTTTGCAGCAACAGAAGAGCTGAGAATACTATGAATGTCCAAATTCAGCGGCCTTGTCCGGGACATCTGGCGGTGGAGGTCTCCGACGTCCTTCCAGCAAATGGCCCAACCTGCAACGGCCGACCCCGTCCATGTCCGCATAAGCGGCAGGAGCTCTGCAGATGACATGGCCTACAGCAGGAGGCCTCTTCTGCCACTTAGATGCAAAAAAGCCTCGCTGAGACTCTCGGAAAACCTGCTTTGATGCAAGAGCATGCAGCGCATCAGGTTCCAGGCAACATGTTTAATAGCCTGCTTTTCAGTGGATGTCAGCGGCAGGTGGCGAAATCGATGGGAACGATGAGTCTGCAAGGCCCATGCCTTGCACAGAAGCAGATGGACACATATCCGCAGCTTTTGGACTGGCATCCTGCCCAGCTGCTTTGATGGGCTGCAGCGGAGTCCGCCACATTCTCGTGGATCGACGATCATGAAAGCTTTGGTGGACTAGCGACACAGACTGCTCTCTATTTCCTATTTGTAGGGTCTTGTTTGCTGCTCCATGCGAACTACGATGGCTCTCGAATCGAGAAAATGATTTGATCACGCATGACTCGTGTGCTCCATGGTACAGCGAAGTTTCTGCGACCGAAAACCATATGGCACACAGCTGGCAGTATGGGTCTTCAGCAGCACTGCCCTTCCTCGACTGCGCAGTGGCATGCGGCCAATGCGGCAGACTGCACTTATTTCGGGCTTGTGGTTTGAAAGTCGAGGGAGCCGTAGAACGATAATTGCTGATGTCTCAGCATCAGCCCATCTACACCTGGCAGGGTGAATCGCTGAAAGAACATTGGCAGTAGCACTGACAGCGCCGGTCTGCCACCTTTGTGTACCATTCCGTTGGGCTGGGGCGACCTAATCAAGCTCTGGAATGTGCTGGTAGTTGCTCCAAACATCCCAGAACATTCGTGGCCACTTCATGCCAGGCGACGCATAAACTGAGTCTGCCAGATGCCTTCAATGTCGAACTGATTCTTTGTTGCTACCTGCAGTACCCGCTGAGGGACTCAGGGACTGCTGCGCGGCTGCACCGACCTCGAAGGCTTTGGCACCTCCCTTCGGGTCGCCCAGGCAGAAGATGGTGCTCCCAGACCCTGACATCAGAACCGCCTGGGCGGACTTCGGGAAGACATGACATGAGACCCATGGCTACGACGCACGGTGCCGTCCTCGAAGTCGCACTCTTCGGCCAAATACTTCTTCAGGTCACGAAGCTCTGGGGAGACCTCCAGGTTGCCCAAAAGCCGAGTGGAGCGAGCTCCAAGGTGAATGTGATATGACGTCCAGGCAAGAGTATACAATTCACGATTTGACACAACATCCGTGAAACCGGACGCCGAGTGCCAGCTTCTCAACGAATGCCTCTGTATAAGATCACCCGTGGCGAAGTCGTTGTAATGCTGTAAGCAATGTCACTTCGCTGCAGCTACTAGGCTTGGAGAAACAGCCGTTGCGGCCGTTAGGGCTGGAGTCACCTGTTGGATCTGGTTAAGTGGATATCTATTCGGCTCCTGCATGTGGATCATTAGACAATGACGGGCTTGTTTCCGCAGACATGTTCAGAAGCAGTCCAAGGTTCCAGTCCGGAGCTGCCGGAGCTGCCCATGACACTACGTGCTGCGCCCAAGTTGAAAGCCTTGAAGGCTGGCTTCTCCAAATCGTTCACCCAGGAGCTGTGCGAAGTGCCCTTGCAGACAAGAAAACTCGACAAATCAAACTGCCCGTTGCTCAAATCTCAGCAACTACACTGCAGCTATGCAGAGCCTTATCTTTGAAGGTCTGCAGAAGCTCCTTGCGGTCTGAAATTTGACGGAGTCGTGGTGAAAAAGCTGATCACCGGTTCAGACAGAATCCGGCGCCGTTCCAGTCCTCTGGGTCTACTGTACTCAACGCTGAAAGGTCCATGGCCTCGAGCGACATCCTCCTCTGTCGGTGAAGCCGCACAATGTCGTGCCTGAAACACCTTGCCGGTGGAAAGGCCGTAATTCGGCTTGACCTGAGTGTGGAATGCCACTTTCGGAGTCTGCAAACACCAGCGGAGAGAGGCATCTGCCAAGTAGACGCTAAGACCATCCTTGATGGGAAGACCGTCGATCGGCCTGGGCCAGAGGGAAAATGAAGCTTCCGAACATCAACGTCCTTCAGCTCATAACTCACGCAATCTGGCCAAAGCGGCGTCACAATCTCACCTCTTCCAGTGCAGTATGCAGTGCCTTACAGTCCACAATGACCAGATGCAAGGAGAAGCCTCTCTCACAAAGAAGCTTGCAGCACTTCGACACCGCACACCGCACGGACAAGGTCTGACCGTCCAAAAGCAAGCCAGGTTACCTTCTGACAGGAAGAATGTGGCATCCTCAGTGCTGACCGCTGAAAGCAACTCGCACAGAGAAATGTACGTCAGGAATCAGATCAGCTTTGCAACCTCAACCTGAGAACTGCACAGATCCAATCACCGGGTCGTCGCCCCAGCTGATCAGATCCTGAAAGGCTCCATTGAGCTTTGACTGCATCAAGGGTTGCAGGACTGCCTCTGGAGTGGCCGGGCAGCCGCACAGCTGGTTGGCACCTCTGTGGTGATTCAAGATGCTCACGCCTCAAACACAACAGCTGAGCAAGTCTGAGAACAGTTCCGAAAAATGCCGTGGCTGCATTGCTGCTTCCACCTCCCATGCCAGCCTCAGCTGACATGTGTCTGTGAGTTCAATTCTTGCAGTCATGCCTGCCTGCGCTGGTATCTCCTTCTCGAGCGTGACACCGAAGAACCGACGAATGCCACTCTTCTCTCGGAACAGCCTCAGCTGTCGAAACGGACGAGGTGACGGCGATGTGTCATGCACATTCATGCACTACGTCGTCGGGACCCGGACTTGAGGGCGCGGATGACCAGGTTGGAATCATCTACTGGCCTTGATGACAAATTCAGCCACAAACACGGCAGCTTGGAGAGTTCATGTCAAGTAGTAAACGAATCTGAATGGCTCAATTGTTCACACTCATTGCTGACGCCGGACACTCCCGGCAGGTTGCACTCCAGCCGATCCTGCTCTGCATTGTCTGGCAGCGCCTGCACACATCCCGGAGATGAGAATGACACACTTCTCACAGGATCCAATCGACGAAACCACAACAGGAAGGGGACTCTCTTCTAAGACCCAGCATGTTGAACGTGGGACTCCGGAAGTCTGCACGACACAAAATTCCACCTCCAGCACCAGCTTGTCACCAAATGCCACCGTGTGGAAAAGTGATGCCAGATCATGATACCCATCTGGTCGTCGCCTGATGATTCGCAAAAAGAGGTTCACCTTCGCCGGCGAGAAGAGCTCAACGCTGTCTGAAGCCCGCAGAAAGGCTCGGCTCTTTGGGATGAGGACGCCACTCGCAACTGCGCTTAGGCCGAAGACTGCGACGCCGACGCCACTTGCCAAAGTGCTTTTGCTCCCTTGCTTTCGATCGGAGCTATCCCGCTCCCAAGCGAAAGGTGTGGCTCTGGGAGCAAGGACCGAAAAGGCATCCTTTGAGACGGTGACAAGGATAACCGCAAGGCTGCACGTGAAGGCCAAGCGCGGAAGCCTGCCAATTCTCCCCATGATCTTGCGAATCTTTCACATGTCAAGCATGTCAGGCAAATGCCTCGAGCCAATACCGAAAAGCATGAAGGGAGCTTCAGCAAAGGCGGTTGCTGCGGGGATTATTACAGCATGCTGCTGTCTTCGATAGCAGTTTAATGTGCCACTTCACGAATGTGAGCCTGGTGAAACTCCGATAGCTGCCAGTCGATCACAAGACGTTTCGGCACAGAGCCGATCTTGGGATGCGATAGCTTCGATCTCTGCAGCGCTGCTAACAAGCAGTTAGGACAAGCTGAGGGTTGGGGGTATGATTTGCTGGATGGCTTCAGAACTGCTCAGAACGCTGCCAATCGTAAGTGAGTATCTCTGGCAAAGGCTGAGCTCTGAATCAGCTAGCTCCAGAGCACTGATCTCAGCTCACTGCTGCTTGCATTCCTGAGGGTCTGCCTGAAATTCGTGTCAGATTCACTAGGCTTCTTTCTGCACCAAGTCTCTGATGTTCAGCAAGAATCTCGTACCACTTTGCCTTCTTCTTCGGTCCTTTTCGGCCTGCTTCCTGCGGCAAACTCCACGAAACGGGCCCGCAGGTTTTGGAAGGAGGTCTGTTCAGAGTTCTCTTCATGTCCTCCTCCTCTAGCTCCACGTCCTCGTCTTCCTCCTCTTCCTCCTCTTCCTGGTGAGGTCTTGGTAACCACGTCTGTGTCCTTCCCTGCTAGAACAGCTTCATGAAACCCATCCTCATCATCGTACTCGTCATCTGGTGCGGCTTCGCCGGTATACCAGCGAACGGCAAAAGGAATGATCTGAGTGCCTTTGCCGTGGGCTGAACACGTGCGAAAAGTGAGGAGAACGACCAAAAAAGGCAACTCCAAGACGTGCAGCACTTGCCGAGAAACGAAGCGCCATGCCACAGTCATATGCATTTTCGAGTAAAGCCTCTACCATCTCCTCCTGCAGGGAACGACAGCATCTTGTACCAAAGCTCGATCATGTTGCGAACTGAGCCGTGTTCACATAATTCTGTGCCTGCTCCATCTCATCGTCGCCCATCTGCATGCAAAGCTGCTGGGTGTCAACGTCCTTCGGCGTCTTCAACATCGGCTGATGACACGAACACCGCCAAATGATGGCTGTAGCTTGTGCCCGGGCGATGCTTTTATTACTCGTGATCGCATCGGACATGCAGCCGTGCATGTAGAACAGTACGGGGGGGATGGGTATCCACGACAGTTGTTGCAGTCTGGAGCATCACAGGAATATTCGCAGAAGCGTGCTGCGCCCTGCGTCCTCAGGCAGCTCGTCTTCCTCCTGCAGTGCAAAGCTCGTAGTGGGGCTAGCTCGTCAAACGAAGCACGAACGCTTGCGCATACTCGCTTCAGTCCTGCAGACTCCGAAAGAAATCGCGGAAGAAGGATTTTCGAGGTTCCAGCAGCTTCTGACAAAGCTTCACATTCAAAGTTCTGGCTTGTAAATGATGTTCAATGTGGATAACTAGACGGGGTCATGAACCGCAACAGCATGAACAACCACACTGTCAGCAATGGATGCTGGCAAGAAGAGCAGCTGCAAGCTGGCGAGCCCCATCTCAACCTAGACGATGTAAAGCAGGCGCCTCTTTGTGGGATTTCTTCTTTTTGCCTCCTGGCATGTGTTGGCAACGTGCAGCGCAATCTTGCCGGCGAGCTTCAGCGGTGGTAGAAAGATCGCGCCTTTTGCAGGCTTGCCCATTGTGACGTCTTGGCCTGCCTGGCAGTGTTGCATCGCATGCCAGCGAAACACACGCATTTGGTTTTGCCTAACATCTTGACAACACCACGGCATGGGCCTTGGGCCTAGGGCCTAGGGCCTAGACACAAATTCGAGATGATTGATTGACTTGCTCTTGAGTCGTCGAGGGTCTGCTTGACAGACAACGACCGCTACACTGTTGCAGCATCATGCTAGGCGCTTGTACTCCTGTACTATTGCACAACTATGACTGTGCACATATATTGACATGCACATACACGCATACAGCCGTATGTACATACATGACTCATCCACAAAACTATGCATGCACAGATATGCATGCATGCATGCATGCATGCATGCATCCATCCATCCGTGCATGCATGCGTGCATGCATACGTACATACATGCATGCATACATGCAGATATGCGGATATGCATATTCATATGTGCATATACATATACGCACTTACAAGTACAAATCCACACAGAAGCACCTACACATCTATCCATCTAGCCGTCTACCCATCTGTTTCGCTGAATGTGTGCATGTACACATCCATGTCTATACACATACCACATATTACGATGTACATGTAAGCATGGATAGCTGTTGCGGTTTGGGTTTGTTTGAGGGCAGCCGTCGAGGGTGATGCTTTGCTCGCCACCATCTGTTTTGAGGTTGGCGAGGGCCAGTAGAGCACCTCTTTTTTTGGAGGTATCCCCACCCTACAAGAATCCTCTTCCATTAGCGATATAAATATTCACGATTTCTTTTGAATCCACCTCGTCACACTTCGTTCGATGCTCCTCCAATCCCAGCTGTCTTTTGCTACAAGGTCTTCGCGTTCATTGTTTGTTTACATTTCGCTTCTTACCATTACCTTCAGCAGCTTTCAACTTATGCAACAAGCACATGTTTTAGGTAGTGAATGGCGTAAGCCTAAGCCCCAATATGAGGTGACCCCAGAAACCAAATCTTGAGGTATATGCTTGACGCAAGGTCGTGCAGATACTGTTGAGTCGTAATCGCTTAATGGGTATCAGCTGTATTTTAATTTGCTGAAGATGTACCGACATATCGCGATTGAAACGGACGAACGATATGGATTTAGGATTTAAGGTTTAGGATCTAGGATTTAGGATTCACGGCTGCAGCCCTCAGGCCATGAACCCTCTAACTAAGGGATTGCTCGACATCGCTCCGCGCCCAATGTAAAGGAATATTTTACACAAGCAAATCCTACGATTTTTTGAGCCATCCAAAACTTTGCCGAACATCCAACGTCCAGGATTTGGGATTCAAAGGCTCCAGTACTGGCCACATTTTAAGGAAGGCTTTAGGGTTTAGGATTTAGGAACCAGGATTCAGTATTTAGAAGCTAGGATTTAGGATTTGGGATTCGATGGCCTGCAATACTGGCCACATCTAGGGAGCACCAACATCATTGAGGTCTTTATATACACAAGTAGATCTTGTTTCGGGTTTCGGAGTTTAAGCTTTAAGGTTTTGGGGTTTAAGAGTTTAGGGTTTAAGGTCTTGGGATTTAAGGTTTAGGGGTTTAGGGAGCAGGGTTTACGGTTGGCGAGGGCCAGTAGAGCACCTGGCTGTGTGTTCTTTTTTTGGAGGTATCCCCACCCTACAAGAATCCTCTTCCATTAGCGATATAAATATTCACGATTTCTTTTGAATCCACCTCGTCACACTTCGTTCGATGCTCCTCCAATCCCAGCTGTCTTTTGCTACAAGGTCTTCGCGTTCATTGTTTGTTTACATTTCGCTTCTTACCATTACCTTCAGCAGCTTTCTGCAACAAGCACATGTTTTAGGTAGTGAATGGCGTGAGCCTAAGCCCTAATATGAGGTGACCCCCACAACCAAATCTTACGGTATATGCTTGACTCGAGGTCGTGCAGATACTGTTGAGTCGTAATCGTTTAAGGGGTATCAGTTGTATATTAATTTGCTGAAGAAATGCCGAAATATCGCAAATGAAAACACAGAAACTTCACAACGGACGCACAATATCAAAATCTCGGACTCAGGATGTGGGGTTTAGTATCTGGGACCTCGGATTTAGGACCTAGAATAAAGGATCTGGGATTTAGGATCTTCGGGCTGCGGAGGCCGTGTCGCGGGGCTAGGCCGCGGGCGGGCTGTATAAGGGTGGGGATCAAGAAAGCTGAACACGCAGCCAATAGTTTGAATGCATCAAACATAGTTATATATATATATATATATATATATATATAAGTTAAGCCACGTGTTTTACGAATATGCTGGATGCTGCACAGTGGAAACCTTTTGGGGTTGACCGGACATAAGCATCCGGGATGGCTCCTTGTTCGTTCGGCAAGCGCTTGCAACAAAGCTTCAAACGTGCAGAACAGCGACAGCCGGCCTTACTCTTGACCTCGGCCGGAACCCTCAAATGCCCACTGTAAATAGTGTGTTTTAACAAACTCTACGAATTTTAAGAAATTCAAAATTTGTTGCGAATCCTGCGGTTTAGGATTGTGGAGCCAGGATTTAGGATCCATCTTTGCCCATCAACCACAGCAGTTTCGAGCCGCTGGTGCAAAACGGGGCTGCGAAAAACACATGTGCCCGGGTTTGATCCCCGTACATACCTGGAAGCTCCGGACTGCATGAGCATGGACGTGAACTCATGGGAATCCGCATGACGAAGGACATGTCCCAACAATTTGAGTCGTCTGCGTCGAAGGAACCATATTGTGATCATCTGAACCAGTTTGCTGGCCAATTGTGAAATATGCTCGTGCGAGCATGCGCTTCGGAAAGCTGCATGACTTTTCGAAAGAAGAAGATTTGAGGCCAAATATTCGTCTCAGGTGTTGAAAATCAATGGAGTTGAACCTTCGTTCTTGAGCTGGTGGCAAATAAACCGATTCCATGGCATACCCCAGAATGGACAGTTTTATGCTCCTGTAAACCCAATGATTCCATTGTGTAGTTATATCGAATTCCATTGTATAGTTACATCGAAATCGTTCGCACATGAACATATGTTCCCACATATGCCACGCCTCATATTACAACATATTTAAAAAAAGATGCATTTTGCGTGGTGATGCAGACTGGCGAATCATTTAGATGGATCGGCATACGAGATGGGTGCACTGGGATGTCAACATTTCCGGTGGACTTCCTGATGTGCTCGGCATTTGTGCGTGGCAAATTGATGTTAGGCTTCTCGCTCCAGGTCGCCGCGGTGGTTGAAGGACTCGGAGCAAGATGAAAAGTTGCTAAACCTGCCGGGGCGGTTTGGCAAAGGCCCTGAAACGCCATCGAAGCCGAGATGATGGCAATAAAGTCCTTAGAGCTACACCTTCAGTCAGAATGCTGCAGCATGAAGCTGATGATACAACACTGCCTGTGTGCAATGGCAGAGAATACAGTACTGAATACTGTCTACGTGTATATATATAGATATATATATATATACAGATATAGATATAGATATATTATATATATATATATATATGTATACACAAATACATACGTACAAATGGAAACAAGCCGTGGAAACAATCAAAAGAAAAGTCAAGATAATTCAAGTTTGAGCCGTTTCTGTGCTTTGGGCATTCAACATTGCAGATCCCACGGACAACTTTTCCAGGAACTTTCAATGTCCAATGTTGCATCACGAACAAAACACTTTGAGCTTGTTTCGAAATTTTTGACGTGAACACTGAAGATTCCAATGAAAAAATCCAGGAATCTGTAGTGTTCAATGTTCAAAGTTTTGTTGACGGTTTGTGCATGTTGTGGAAATGCATGTACATGCTCAAGCCTGCATGCAGTTGTAGTGTATAGTGTATGGTGAAACGCCAGTGGCCAAAGCTAATGGCAGCAAAAGAGCAACGCTAAAGGTAAAACAAACCCAGTTAACGATAAAGTATAGGACATGACTAGCCAAAGTGAAGAACTAACTTATGTGGCAGATTTTCAACGCGGATGCTAAGGCGTGAGGTGGTAAAGATCACCAAACAAGGTATATAGTATGCAGCCTGTAGTACTCGCCGACACGTACATGCGTGGCAAACATACACTTGAACACTACATATGTGTGTATATACATCGATATACATTTACATACATTCATACATGCATACATACATATGTATACATATATACACATATGTATATATATATATATATATATGTAGATTGGGTTATTCTTTATTATGGTTGCAGCCCATAACGCGAAAATCGTCTTGCGCCACGCCCTTGCGCGCTCTTGCACGCACACTGCTCTTAAACACGTTCCCAACTTGCAGCCTTGATAAGCCTAAGTGACAACAAGAAGTTTGTTGCAGATCGCCGGTTTGGGGTAGATAGTGGGCTACCTAGCTTAAAGGCAACGGACTTCACACCAGGCAGGCCATCCTAACCTTTGTACTCGTAGCTTCTGCTTATCGCCCTTGCGGGCGCTTGCACCGCGCACCGTGCTGGTTCCTAAACCTGCATTAAATGTTAAAGTGCGGCGATAGTCAATGCTCAGCCGGAGGTCTGTCTCTCTCTATCTCTCTCTCTCTCTCTCTCTCTCTCTCTCTCTCTCTCTCTTTCTTGTACTTTTCACATTGTTATGTATGTATGCATGTATGTGCATTTATACAAGATGCAGCACGTGCTGCATAATTCCTTGTAGCGTGACATGCATACCAAGCATTATACTGTATATTTTAAAAACTTTTGCCACGTACGACATAATGCGTAGAAGAATGCATTAACACCATCTCTAACACGGTACGTAGCACGATGAGTCATAAAACATGTTGCTTCAACCGTGCTGCGATACAGTAAAATCTAACACCTTCCTATTTGCCATAACATTCTATGTCGCAAAAAGTTCCAGTAGGACAGATGGTCTGATGCGTCGGCAATGGTAATACGACACACTACTTTACCATACGTTATCTTCATACTCCTACAGCCCGTACCGGTTTACCAGACCATACATTACATAACTTGTCGTTGTCTACTAAAACACAATAGATTCCGGAATAGTACGACACCATAACACAGGGCATATACTATGCCAATATAGTAATTCGAAAGGCAATGTATAGCATATGCTTTGTATGACATATAGCAGATACTATACAGTATACGTCAGTATACTGTCCCTGATGCCGTAGATGCATGCAATGTAAATGAGCTGTATAGATCAGTATTCCAAATTGTTCCATGCAACAAACAAGTAAAGGTTAGTACATGCATGAATAATAAGTAAGTGACAGCCAGTTGTGCAGCAGGTGCCTTCCACTTGGGGCTAGAGCCTTTCAGCTGTTTGACCTTGACCTCTCCATTGTAGCGATTTGGCTCGTGCATGTGGTACCTCGAGGAAAGGCAAAGGATTGGCTTCTCACAAGGGTGGCAGTGCGCTATGCTGCGATTGTGGAAACCTACGCTCCGAAACGCTGTGGTCCTAAACAGCTGAGCGGCTCTTGCGATAGTGTACCTCTCACAGAGTCAGCAATTTTGGCCTGTCTCCTCTCAGCTTGACCAGTCAAGGGGCTGTCTGTGAAGTACGGATTCTCGGCGAAATGGAAAATGAGCCTAAATGAAGATCAAGGTCACGCCGGCCACACGAAACTGACTTTGCCGCAACGGAGTGGTCCAAACATCTTGGGCCACAACCGGAAACCCTTTTCTGCATCCTCCTTGTCCAGATCCTCTGCTTCAATTGTCCTGGGAATAATGAACGAGTCAAGCAGGGAGTCATACGACCACACTATGCTTCGGTAAAACACTCCAGCATCGATGGTAGCAGTCGCCTGAGGAACTCAAGCACAGGTATGTCGTAAGACTCGACCTCATCCTCGAACCTGGAAGCGCTCCAGCTGACTAGTGCAAGCCGTCGAGTGAACATCTCTGATGCTTTCTTTTGCGCCAAGTCGCGCGGGATGATTCAGCAGGGCCTGGCAACAAGTCTGCGGAACACAGACGACCAAGAAAGCATTCGTGAGTTCTATAGGCAACGCGCCTGGACCCAGAATCCTTTCAGTGCTGGCCTGGGCGATGCAAGACATTGGAGTTTTCTGATATTCACAGAGAGCCTGGAAGTCTCAGACGTTCCAGTGACTGGGTCCACGCTTCCCTCCTTCTCGGAAAGCACCTAGGCAGGTAGACGGGGACGGCATGGAGATCTCAAAGCTCGGGGGCTGTTGCAAGTGTTTCTGGGCCTTGGGAAGCTCAAGGAAACACAGTTTAGGCATCAACTAAGACCCTGCACCTTGTCCCGGGCTTCGATGAACGGGGCCTGCTGTGCCTGGAACTGCCGCTTTAGCTTTTGCACTTCCTTCTCGTACTCCTCAAGACAAATGACGGGAGATCTGTCTTCCCAGTCTGACATGGATGTGACGTTGCAACACGCAGTTCATTTTCGGCCTTCTGAACTGCCAGCATCTCGTCATCTAGCCTTTTCAGCCTCGCTTGCACAATTCAGCCAGCTCCATCCTACTGCCTGGAGGATGATATCAGGCGGCTGTTTTTTCCGCCAAGAATCTCGAGAACAATCGGCGGGCTGTCGGCTTCTGCAGGTGCGTTGGCATTCGCCTCTCGTGGGGAAGCAAAGAAAATCCCTTAGCTCCTACTTCCTTGAAAGCCTGCACCTCACTATCGACCTAGCACGTCTTTGTCGCCAGAAGATGGGGTCTAAGGCCTAAGGAGTAGCCCAAAGAATCGCAGGTTTGAGGGTTTGCCACTGCTTGCCACTGCCAACTCCTTCTGTCTTCCGCTCGCTGCAGTTGTGGGATTTAGGATGTGACATACTGCGCTGCTTGTCGGTATTTTGGACAGTTCCTGGAGAGGAACTGCTTGTGTCGAGGCGATGTTGATGATGACGACGATGTTGACGATCCTAGTGACGATGACGCTGCGAAGGCGGTGGTGACCATGACGGTCCTGATCAATTTAGGTAGCAAGTTGCCGAGGTGAGGATGACAAAGAAAGTACTGGCGATGGTAATACTGCTAATCATAGCCGTCAGGAAGATGATTATGATAATGATGACGACGATGACGACGACAGGTGAACCTGCTTGCCGGAGAGATGGGGACTTCTAAAGAGCATCAGCTATTGGCCACGGCATCAAACTTGCGGGCTGCTACAAAGCTTCAAACCAGGATGTTGCTTTGCTTTGGAAACATCGCAGCAAAGTGTGGTTCTTGGCGGCAGCGCCCTAAACCTGCATTTGACTCCTAACTCGCCATGTTTCCAGAGCAGCGCCAGCCACTGCCGCTAGTGACTGGTGACCGATTTGATTCAGTGGATGGGAACAACTTGGCCGTGCATTGGAGAAGCATAGCTCGTTCTTCGTTCTTTCCCTTCCAGTCCAAATCCAAAGCTCTTCGGCCAGATCTGAGGCTGCTGGGTGAGGATAGGCGGAGCCGCTGATTTTGGGCTTGCTTGCATCGGCCTGTCCAATCTCGCGACAAGTGGCGACCTGTAACTGTTCGCCGCGGTTCTACAGAATGGAGCGTGCACTTTCGAGCTCGTTCCAAGATCACTACGCTGGCTTTAACAGGAGGTTGCGGGTAGAGGCTGTTACCAGGCACCGAAACTAAACTCGTGAAGCCGGTGGCTGACTGAAAACGTTCAGCGGATTTTCCAGAGGCCCGTCAAGAAATTGTCCAGACTTTCCTGGCATAAGCCGATTTCTTTTCGGGAGGTATTCTGCTTGCCAAAGGGCGGAGATCTAATCACGTCTCAGCTACTCCTCGCTATTCTGATGCACCAGCAGCAGTTGCCTGACTTTCATGGCTGATGGTTAATAGCTCAGCGACCAATGTGCTGCTACCCACGGCCATGCCATGCCTCCGTAGTCGACATGGCGGGCAATGAGGCAGCACAAAGTTAATAAACAGCCAGGTTGCGTCAGGAGTGGGGCTGATGGTCCTCATGGCTGCTCATGCATCGTTTCTTCAGATAATTAACATCGAGCTCCCCAGCGTGTGTACAGCAAATAAGCTCTTGGACTGGACCAAAAATGGCTGCTTCATGAGGCCAAATGGATGCGATCTGCTCATGTTAAAGATCATTACGAGTAGTCAGAGAAGGTCATTGACTTATGACCAGCCGCCGAACGCAACCGCATTTTCAATTTGCCAAGCCATCAACTCAGTCCGTGATGAGCCAGCCAGTGGTCATGTGCCTGGCACCATAGCACGCTGGTTGGGAAGCGACACCGGCATTTTGCTCTAGTGCACCTGCACGAATTGAAAAACTCGCGTGGCGATGGAGGACTGATCAGGGTTCCTGGCGAGTGGTCAGCAGACTGATCACAATCAGAGGTGCATCTCCCCCGCTCCAAGCTGTGAACATCTATGTTACATGCGATGCAAAAGAGTCCGACACAATATGCCGAGGACTCTTGTCCGGATGCCACTGCAGCCGAATGGACTTGAGTACCTGGGACAAGCGGACAAGCGGTGGGAAAAGAAGCAGAATCAGCCCATCAGCGCCAGAGCCGCCTTCTTTTGTTTGGAGAATGGCTGCTCCAAGAGCGCTGCCATGGCTTTGGCCACCTCAGCATGTCTCAACAAAACGCAAAAGTCATACTGGCAGACGTGGCGGTCGTCTGGTCGATTTCGTGCCTCCGCCTCACCAGCCGCAACTTCTCTGTCCTCCTGCGAAGCGTCGGCACCTGGTGAATTTCTTTTGGAGTGCTCAAAGGCGCTGATCCCCGCCCAGACTAAGTTTTTGGCTGGCCGTCGACGGACTGGGTCTGTGGTAGGCGACAGTGTCAGCAAAAACTGTCTAAGTTCTCAAATCTGCTGCCTGGGCGGTTCTGGTGGTAGTTGCACAGGCGGTTGAATGGTGGGAGGCTGTGGGTCCTGCACTGGAACTGCTTGCACAAGCTGGTCAGCATTTCGCCAAAAAAGAACGGCAGGTCACCTCTCCTCGGCAGCCTCAACCTTTGGAGGCTCGTTTTTTGCTGCTTCATCGGCTTCGTCGACTTCAACCCGAGGCATGCGCGGTGGAGCCTCGTAGTCATGACAGGAGCAAAGCAGGTAAGCCCATCGTGACATGGGACTGGCTAAGAAGCAAAACTCATAAAAGCACCGTCTGCTAAGCAGTTTCGCGTTGTCAAGCAGTCAGCTACACACCCGCAGATCCACGCGCGACAAGAACCAGAGCCATGAGCTGCAGCTGCACGCAGGCACACATATGGCACACATATGACACCTATCCTCTTCGTGACCCTCGGCATCCAAACCCGCGCTGGCCAGTCGAGGCCCGCTCGAAGCGCTCGTTTGGACGAAGCTTCTTCTTCTTGGACTCGCCTGGAGTCGACGGCCGTGCCCTCTTTTTGTAGCAACATCTGCTTGGGACCTGCAGGATTTGGTCGTTGTCGAGCTGGTGGGAAGCTGCGCCAGACTGCCTTTCGGCAAGAAACACGAATTCTGAGGAAACGGACACGGGCTCAAAACGAGGCCTCTTTCGACAAAGGCTGGCACACCCGGACTTCGGACTCTCCCACGGCCAAGAAACCCTGTCGAAGTAACCAAAGCAGTGCAAAACTGACACATATCAGGAGAAACGCATGTACAGTAAATTTCGCATCGAAAGCCACTGGCCCCTTCACACAGTGCCTGCGACGCGGCAACCATGACAGCCTGCAAAAGTCTTGAAGAATGTCCATCTGCCTATACGATCTATACGACGCAGCTGCAAAACGTGGTCGTCACCTCCGCCGCTTTGGGATTTGCGAATCGTATGCTGACCTTGAGCCAGGACCATGCTGGCCATTTATCGCGTGAGAACACGTGAGAAAATAGACTCGCCAGCCAAGCGGCGATTGGTCTCTTTTCACCTGTTGGAACACCTTCAGGATTGTTTACGGCTTGGCGCTACTTCATTCACGCAGTTCTGCTTTGGCTGCGTTTCATGCTGAGACCACCACGGACATCTAACACCGGCCCGAATCGTCGCATGATCTGAGCAGGATGCTTGTCGACGATGTGTCGGTCTGAGATGGTCTGAGAGAATGACTGGTTGGATAGCGACCTTCACTTTGGAAGCCCAGGCGGAGTCGTTTGCCCCGGGCAGCACCTTCGTTTGCTTCAGCAACATGTTTACTGCCATCTCACTCGTACAAAGGAGAAGTGCCACAACCCAGGCTCACGACGCTTCTCCCGAATGGATTCGCTCCGGATTAGCATAGTTGTCAACGTACGAAGTCATCGCATCAATTCGTCTGCAATGCTGCCCTGCCTGTTCGGCATCTGCGATTTCGATGAGGCAGTCCGACCGAGCAGAGTCTCCACCTCTGGCAATCGCCGCCTGTGACATGGTACGTGTGGAAGCCACGATCGGCCTTTCAAGAAGCAAGCCTTGGCCACGACAGCTGCCGCGCGCGCTGCCGCCAGTGCGGCTGACCCTGACAGTAGTGCTTACTGCCGACAGCTCGCCCTCACTGAAGTTCGAGCTGTGCCTTTTCTTGCGCCTTTGCCGGACATTGCCCTCTTGGATCATTTGATCAGATGTCGCCTATGACTATGGCACTGCCACAATTCTCATCCTAAACCTAGACTCCTAGACACGCTGTCTAAGGCTCTTCCTGACTGGTTGGAGCAATCAGATGTGGTTCACTATTTTCAAGTTACTTGAGCTGAAGAGATCCGCGGGCTCGAGGTATTGACAAAGCCTTTCAGCTGTCGGATGCTGGGAGCATTGGCACTGGAAGCTGTTGGAGCCTTCAAGGGCTGAGCCATCTTTTCCTGAAGCGGAAAGCAACGGACCAGGCTCAAGCATCTCACAATCTCTTGCGCTATGAACATCTAAGAACGTCTTTGAGGCTCTAGACTCTTGTCAGCAAGACTGCTGGACTGATGCTCGGCCACTTAGTCCAAAGAGTTAAATGCCACACCTCGGGGGTCTGACAGCTCCTGCAGGCTCCAGCAGGAGTCTTGCCCCAAGTTTTAGCTATCCTGGCTTCCGGGCCGTCCGCCAGGGGCTAGGTGGCATGGCAGAAGATGTGTACTCCCGCCCAGTCTCTGTTCCGGAAAAGTAGGGGCAGGAAATCTAAACATATCAGCGCTAGGCTGCCAAATGCATGCTCTGAGCACGCTGTGTGAATCTACTAGAGCTGTTCCCCTCAGGAAGTGTTCAGCTCCACTCCACCCAGCACCTCAGCCCCAACAGTTACACAGTTTCCGAGATCGTTCGACTGAGCTCGGGTCGAGGTCGGGTTTATGCCTTCTTGTGGAAGACTTCCATTTCCTGCGCTCATAGAGGAAGTCAAGTAGAGGGCTGCATTCAGGACAAAATTAAAGTCCTTGGCAAGCTGAGTCATGGTGGTCAGCACGATGTCATCCTCTTTCGCGAAAGCCTTCGAGAGGAGTCCGAGAGCTCATTCGTGCGGCACAAAGCGGGCAAATGCAGGTCTGGCCTTCATTACTTTCACTGCCTGCAGTTTGAGATCTCTCAACTCGACGGCCCGAGCAACAGGCCAGAACCCAACTCTACTGCAGGTCTGATTCTGATGCCTTCTTCAAAGTTTGCACGAACTCATCAATCAGCTTCCATGCGCGTGTGGCATTGAGGCCGTTGTCCTGTGCCAGCACAGGCTGGCGATAACGTTGAAAGGGGAACTTCAAAGACTCTTCGTGGGGAAGTTGCAGAATCTCCTCCCAAAGATACTTCCGCTGTCCATGGATCATGTAGTCCAGGATCCAGCTATTCGTCGCCTGAACTATGCAATCCCCCCGCAGCAAAGGGCTTGTTGTGCCTGGTACTTGTGATCTTGCAAGAAGTCGGATTGCCTCTAGCTCCCGATTGGCATCCGCACCGGTCGGCGGGCAGGCCACTGTTGGGATGGCGTTCAAGTCCAAGTGCAGGACGTTCCTTCCGTTCCGTGTATCAGCACTTCACATAATGCGGCTGAACACAGCGCCTGCAGTTCTTGGACAGGTCCGAGGGTGTCAGGTAGAAGTCACCAGCGCCAGATAAAGCCGAGAAGGGTGAGCGTGACTTGTACCTTGGCGAAAGAGCACAGGCCGCGAACAGACCTAGTGCTGGGGAAAGCTCGGGACGCGGCTTCACGACCTGCTTGAAAAGTGCATTTCCTAGGCCGCTCTTCTTTTCCTTAGGACGATACAGTAACTGTCCTAAAGATCGAAGTACAACAACCTCTGAGGCTTGTGCAAACGGATCCCCCCTTTCGTCCAAGCCCACGGGAAAACACCTCTCATGTGCGAATTTGCAACAGCCACAGGTTCCGAGCGTGCTGCCGACCCGCCAGCCTTCCACTTGCAGGTAGTGTCAGGTCAATCTGCCCGTGCTTCCTTCGCTTGCGATGCGTGGTCGGTTTAGCGAAGTATGGAAACTCTAGAATCTAGAACATGAGTGACGCAGAATGTGTTTTCCGCGCTGCTTTTCCTGGTCATCGCCACTGTCCAGGCAAAATCCTGGAAGACTTCAAAGAGCTGGCTGTTGTATCTCTGAATCTCCTGCATGTGCGTTCTCGAAGCGGAAAACGCAGAAAGCGCAGAGCTGCGCGGCTGCACCGAGCTTTCAGTCCTTCTTTATCCTCGACGGCAGTGGAGGAAGGCGAGGACATCCCTGGCAACTTGATGCTGGAAGAACGGCACTCATGCATGCAGGGGGCTGCTGCCTCCGAAGGTAGGTTCTTCTTTCTTGGAATCCGCTCCTTCGGAATGCTGGGCGGCAGCCTCAAAACATCCGAAGACATCCGACAACCGCTTACGTTCCCCCACAAACTCGGAACCGAGCCTTCGTCGAAAAAAGATCCAGCCCAACCTGCTCGCGTAGAGTTGCGCTCCATGCATCTGCAGCGCACTTGGGCTCCGACACAGAGACGAGCTTCACGGTGAGGTGCGTCCGTCGGTCGCCCTTGAGCATCTTGGGAGCCTGAGACGTCAGATTTCTTGACCCGCGCCACAGTGGCACAATCGCAATGGCTCTCGCCTCCTCGGCCAGATACTCGTGCAGAACTCCACTGCAGAGGAGCCTGCGACTGCACCGTGCGGAGGAGCATCTCCAATCTGAAGAGTCCCGATTGTTGCTCATCTGCCTACATGTCCGGTACCGGTAACACCCAGAGAAGCACGTAGCCTGTTTCCGTCCCATCAGATTCATTTCCTGAAGACCTTATTCGCTCGCCGTTAGTTCTGTAATGCCATGCTTGTCGGTTCTCACCCTCTGCACGCGAGCGAGTGTCTGGCATAGTGGCATAGCCCTTAAACAGCCATGCGCAGCTGCATGTTCAGCTTGGGCAACCCGACTGGTTGGGAAAACATCTGTGTAGTGTTGCTTTGGAATTTGGCACCAGACTTTAAGACGCTGAGTTAGCACCGCCCTTCCAAGACATGAAACAGCATGGCGAATCTAGTCTGGATTCATCTCAGGCCGGTTTCCTGGAAAGCACGAGGTTGGCCGGCTCAGCCTGCTCCAGGCTGAGGGGAGCAACGTTTGCATCACTGACACTTGGCACTGTGTCAGCTTTCTTGCTGCCTCGAAGAGATGTGTACACAGATTCGCCAAGTTCCTCACCAGGCAGAGACGAGTCACACGACGGTCCCAGACATGGGGCTCCCTTCTGCCTTGTCGAGCCGTCCCGCGCAATGTGTCCTTCCTTGCGGCGGTTGCCCAGACTTCACAAGCTTCAGGAATTGACGCGATCAAAGCTGGGTTGCCAACTCTGTACAGAAGCTCTAAGGTGAACCGCGTGTGAAAGGCTACCTGCTTCTGTCATGAACAGCACTGCAAGCGGACAAAATGGACGGTCCGTCTAAGCACTTATCGCCGAGACGCTTGGGTCTTCAGCTCAGCGGTTTTGCTTTGAAAGAACGGCAGCTCGAACCTGCAGCCGAAGCTTACCCGACCGGACGCTTTCAGGCTGCTGCTGTTACCAGTAACATACTGAGACACGTGCACAGGCGCCAGACACCGAGTGATGTCTTCAAGAGTTCTGCCCAAGGTGCCTTCCTGGTGTTGCAACTCCACAACCCACTGTAACCCACTCTCACAGGAACAGATTTCTCTCTTGGCTCAGCTCCTCCTTGAGCTCCAGCATTCTCTCGTACTCGTGCAGTGCCTGTGGCCCGCAGGTGGGGACTTGCACGTTGGATCTCGTCACTGCTCGGCGTCCGGCCCTCAGAAGAATTGTTGGAGAAAGCGTGAATTCACCAGCCTGGTTCCATGAACAGAGCTGTTGTGAACTCAGACTTCTTCCGAGAGACTGAAGATATCTGAAGATCCCGAGGCTGCAGCCAAGCTCGACAGATCTGACGTGATGAGCCGTTGGATCTTGGTCCAAGACGGACGCACACAACGGCCCAAGCGCAGGCAAGCGCAGGCAGAGCGGCTACTGATGGCCTTCGTGAATGGCTTGTCCAGGAAAATCACTTGCCCGAGCAGGTCGAAGCCTCGCCTGGAAATCCGCCCCGGAAGCGCTCTGCACTGTTCCCTTGCAGGCTTCCTGCCTCCCTGCTCGACCACTCATTTGCCGGTACATCAGTCCAGTCAGCTCCTGCAGATCGGTACCCGTCCAAACGCGATCGAGCAACGGCCTCCCCTCATGACATGCTTGCCAAGCAGGCAGCAGTACATTGGGGAATCTCTTCACCCCGTCAAGAACCCCGGTGATGCTACGTCGCAGAGGCAGCGCACTGCATTTTCGTGTGCCATGCTAGCACTGCGTCAGCTGACTTCGATGAGCGCTCGTCCAGCGATCTTGCCCTCGTTGAGAAGCTTGTAGGCCTCTGATGCCTGGGCCGGGGCTTCCGTGGAAAAATGCCAAGAAGGCCGGGAAGACGGCATACGGGCCTGGTCCAGTGAGAAGCGCCGGGTGACCGCTGACTTCAAATTTACGCCACCTTTCGCTGCAATTTCCAGGAGCTCGGGCATGTCTTTGGAAGCTCGGGCACCTTGAAAAGCTGTCGGTCACGGAAGACATGCAGAAATGTTTAAAGCCTGGTTCTCAGCTTGGGGATGCACCGTATGAGCCCACCAAGCTGATCCGACGCCGAACCACATGCGTGATTGGGACTTCGGCTCGAGCTTTCGGCGATGCAATGCCCACATAACAGGCGCGGCCACCGTCTCGCACCGCCATGATGGCCTCTCGCAACATTGCAAGGTAAGCAAGCGCTGGAAAAGCACAGTTGTATCTGCACGAGCCTGCTCGAAGGTAGCTTTAGATCCAATCACTTCAATGCACACATCGGCTCTGTGTCCATCAGTGAGCTCACCAATTCGTTCAATCACGTTCTCCTTCAGCATGTGAGATTAACTTGCCGGTGCATGCAATGTGGGTGAATGTAAGGAGCGTTTTGAACATCTAGCCAGATTTGCCCAAGCAAATCGAGTCAACGGAGCACCTTTATTGCACAGAGAAGTGAGCCGGCTACATCCAAATCGCCCACCACCGTTACCAGTTGAGCTAAGCAAACTTAAATCATATCGAAATCAACAAACCAATTCAATGAACTGCAGAAATGAGCAACAAAGCTCGTAGCAGTCGTAGTCGTAGCAGTCGACACAAAACAAGTAGTAGTGTCAGCAGTAGCAGACATGACGTGCAAAAATATGCTCTTGCTACGCAGGAGCATGCTGCGCACCTAACAAGCTTTCATGGTCGCTTTGGTTGGACAAACCTAAAGCGAATTCATGTGGCATTTTCCTTCTTGTGTGTTAGAGAATTCGTCTGGCTCTTCTTCTTCTGTCGGAGAAGACGTTTCAAATTGTATCCTGTATTTCATTTTCTGAAGTGAATTCGCGCGGCTTCTTGTGTGTCAGAGAAGAGAATTTTTCATTAGATTTCATTTGAGTTACTGTGTTTTTTCTTTGGATTCTCTTCGATTCTTCACACCTCTAAAGTGAATTCGGCTGGCTTTCTCTTAAACCCCCTGAAGCAAATAAGCCTTCTAAGGACAGTGCAAGTCGATTTTCAAACATCACTTTGTGTCTCCGTGTCTCGCCAAGGACTCAGTAGCAGTAGCAGTAGCATCTGTGACTGTTGCTCCTGTTTTTGTTGTTGCTGTTGCTGCGCTTGTTGTTGTTATTGCTATTGTCGCTTGCTGCTGTTGCTGCCGTTGCTGCTGTTGTTGTTGCTGCTATTATTCTTAGTGTTGCTGATGCTGTGGTTGCGGCTGCGTCTGCGGCTGCTGTTGCTGTTGCTGCTGCTGTCAGCATTGTGGTTTTCGTGCGGCTTCACTTGTGTGGCTTCGTTGTCTGTGCTGCAAGGTGTCTGCATCTTCGAGGACCACGGAAAAAGGAACACACACGGCATAATGCAGAGTTGAGAGGCGAGACAGCCGGGAAGTCGATAGGACGAGACACCAGGCAGGACAACCACAGCCGAGTTGAGGCCAGCAAGCCGGGCAGATCCAGCGTCTTGTTGATGGTGACTCAACGTTTGATGGTAATTTAGCTTGTCAATTGATATGCTGTCCTGCAGATGTAGCAGCAGACCGTGACAAGATCAAGGAAAAAAAACAGCACAGCGCGGTGCACAGGAGGGAGAGTACAGTCGACAGGAAAGGTTCCAAGTGAGGCTTTCGTGCGATGACTCCTCCGAGGTCATGGTGTCTCAGCTTGCTGTTCTCATGCTGCGCAAACAATCGTACTGTCATGTACTGTCTGTCCGTGCGCACAGAAGAGAGGTCCTGGAGTGCATTGATGCAGTGATCTGCACCCAAGCTTCTTGCCAGGCTCAGCGCCTCTTCGCTGATGTCGACCTCGGTGGTACAACTCGGGGGAGGCTCTTGCAGCAGCTTGTTCGAGGTACCCATTCAAGACTTGGCTCTAAGTCATCCCAAGACTTTCCTCAATTCCTTTATCTTCAGGCAGGAACAGGTACGCATCTGCCCTCTGCAGGCCACAAAGTGGGAATTCGAAAAGACGCAAACAACAGGTACCAGGAAGACTTAGCAGGTAGGATGGACCAAGCACCATAAACGATCCGAAACGTCGACTTCGCTTGCCACGGCGCTGCGGCAGGCTTGAAGGGTCATCGATATCGCGGATATGTTGTACGTGTTGCATACAATTACCACATGGGTGGCACACCCGGAAACATGCGTGATCGACAAGTACTGTACCCCAAGAGGTCTTAATGCTGCAGAAGTGCCGCTATCACGGGTGACGCGCCGAGATGCTTCGCCAACTGCACGATGCCCTGCCCAACACCACCCGCACCAACGATGACAGTTGATTGGCCACTGCGTAGCTCGGCGGCATTGCGGATGGCACCGAGGGCCGTAAAAAAAGCGCAGCCCAGCAAAGCGGATTCGGAAAACGCTTTCTCTGCTAGGACAGGGGGTAGCAAGAATGCGGCAGTCTGTGGAACGACGGCATATTCAGCCAAGCCTGCAAAAGAATACATGGCCACAGGACTGCCTTCTTGGTACAGGCGGGTGCTTCCATCAAACAGCTGTCCCTTGAGCCTGTTCAAGGCAAAGAATGGTGCACAGGTATCCTCCTCCCCACGCTTGCAGTGATAGCAGGAGCCGCAGGGCATGATGAAAGTACAAGCGACTTGACCGCCAAGAGGCAGTCTTGTCTTGTCAACGCCACTGCCGTGTTGAAGGATTGTTCCACTGATCTCGTGTCCAAAAACTGCCGGAGCAGGGAAGGGCACCTCCCCTTTGATACAGTGGAGGTCTGTGTGGCAGACCCCACAGGCACGAACCTTAACCAACACCTCTCCGTCCTTCGGCGAAGGAGTGCCTAAGTTTTCCAGTCTCATTTTCCCAGGGTCTGGATCGCCCCTCCAGACCACGGCACGCATATGCGACGGGATGGAATGCGTCTGGCTGAATGCACGCACATGGCGCCGAACCACTGTTGAGTAACGGCGCATCCTGTTGTCGACGAGCGTGAAGTAATCCTGTTTTGCCCATTTTACTCCTCCCCCATAATCAAACCGTATACACTCACCCGAATGTACGCCCAGTTCAAGCATGCTTATCAATGGAACATGTCTGAGCCAAAGAGGTGCTGATGCTGAACCGGACAAGTCAACCTTAAGTGCCACTCCAAACCTTCACAGCAATTTGGCAAACCAGTCCAGAGAGTCTCCACAGAAGATCGTCGATCGGCACCTGCCGTAATATGCATAGTGGGATAACCCTAACCGTTCAAACGGGCCCAGGGAACGGCATGTTGATGCCGAGCGCCAAAGTGCCGGTGGCAAACACAACTCGCAAGTACCTGCCACAGTCCGGGCAAGGAGCTGTGCACGGTGTGCACGTCTCAGCGCTGAGGACAGAGCCCACGACGGAAAAGAATTTCCACAGCATCTCTATAGCCCTTCCTTAGCGGTTGGGCAGGGTCTCTCCTAACGCTTTCCAGGCGAAGGGCCCAGACTTCAGGCCCTCGTGATGGATACCGAGTCCTCTCCTGTTCAAAGCACGGCAAGGCGCCAGAAACTACAACAAAAACTCAGGACTTGCAAACCCTCAGAAACTCCAAGAGCACCAAGTTTCTGTGCAAGGAGTGCTGGTCACAGGTCGCGTGGTACAGCAACAGCACTACTTAAGACAACATTGGATTAAGAAAATGAGGCTCTGGATTTTGCGATTGATAGGGTTCTACATAAAATACCAAGCACTGTTAAAACAAGAAAGCCAGGGTACCCTCGTCCGCGAGTCTCATTTTCTTACTTCGCCCTGTCATACTAGTGCGCGTAAACTTGGCCTGTGCTGTATGAGGGGTTCCTTACATCAGGGGCCTTTGCTAACATCCTAGCCCTAGTACTTGGGGTGTCCTAGGCACTTCGTGCCTTGACCATGCTGAAGTTTCCCCTCCAAGGCTTCCAAGCACGGCTTTCAGGGATCGTAGGCATCCTCGTGGTCTTTAGTTGGGTTCTGGAACGAAGGAGAATAAGAAAATGCCAGAGTCTCGTTTTCTTATTTAGGTGGCTTCTGGAACGAAGGAGAATAAGAAAATGTCAGAGTCTCGTTTTCTTATTTAGGTGGGTTCTGGAACGGGCCCTGGACATAGCTAAGAAAACGGCCTTAAGAAAACCAGACTACCCTGACCCATCCCAGATTAAATATTCCCATAAAACCAGCCGCTGTCAAAATAAGAAAACCAGACCACCCTCGTCCCAGAAAGTATTTTCTTATACAGCGCTCCCGCTGTACACCTTCAACCTAAACTAGAGAACGAGAGTCCCGAAGCCGTTTAGAGCAGCGATGCAACACAGAACCTTACCTCTCTCATCTCATATCATCTCATCTCATCGTCTAAAAGCCCTCCATAAATCCTTCTACAAACCCTCGACGCCACATGTACTTCCGAGAATCAGGACAACGAACAACGGTTGACATGCTTCCCCCAAGACAAGTATTAGCGGGATTGAGGAGCACGGCCAACAGGGTTCCACGAAGTACTGAGAACCACCCCACCCCGGGCACCCCATGTAAAACACCGGCAGCACAGAGAGAGCCATCATTTTCCGGTCAACGTGAGACCAATCAAGTGGACCGGCAGAACAGAGAGGGCTCTCATTGCCCGCCCCATCTGAGATCTATAAAGTGGAATCTGCACTGGATCGCACGTACCGGAGGATGCGGACACACCGGCAGCACAGAGAGAGTTGTCATTTCTCAGCCAATATGAGACCAATACATGCCAGCAGCAGCGAGACGGCTGTCAATTCCGAACACGAATTGTCATGGCCCGACAAGTGCAGCACCATTTGACCGAATGCGGTGGCATCAGGAACGGGTTGCCAAATCCGAGGACGAACCACGGCGCAGCCGCTAGCCCTGCCCCATGCATTAAAAGATCTTACATTGCATCGAGATAAGAGGCAGAGGTAACTTCTCGGAAATCCAAGCACCTCACACAAACCTAAGGGCCATCCTCTCGAACACCTCAAGCCGTAACCCCAGATCATCGTCACCTCCAGCACCAGCGCCTTGGGGAACACGGGAAGTTGCAAACGCTGTAGACAACCTTTTAGGCCATGCATTGATCCGTGATGGTGATGGTGGTGAAGCAGTGATGGGTAGCAAACCCATCACACGAAAGAACAAGAGCACGGTGGCACCTAGGCCAGGGGCCTCCCAAGCACCCTTCTATTCGAATCTGACCCTGAAATACCCTACGCTAAAACCCCAAAACCTCCAAACCCCGAACTTCTATCCTCTATAATTCAAGCTCTATCACGGGAACTGAGGTCCTGAGACCCTCGACCATCCAATTCTCAGCGCCGCCCTTCTTCTTGGCGTCGTTGATTACTTCGTCGATGTCCTGTGTTGCAGGCTCTGTTGAAAGTGATGCTCACTCCCTGCACTGTTCAGCACTTAGAAACCCAGTACTTTGCAGCTTGCGCAATCCTCCTGCCAAACGCCGAGGGCTCGTGCCGAGTGAAAGGTGAACTGCAGGCGGTTGAGCACGGGGGCACAAACGTCGAAACGTGTCAGCACTGCTGCAAGCCGTCTGGTCTGGATGGCTATCTCTACAAGCAGGGCGCCTCTGGGTCGATTTCTTCAGAGATGTCCTTGATTGACACAATTCATGTGCCGTATTGCATCATGCCATGCACAAAGATGCTTGGGATCAGCGTCAAGACTGCACACACAACTGCCAGAGGAGTCCTTCGGCTCTTTTGGTTCTTGCAGCATGAGGTCCTGCAATTGTCTCAGTGAGCGTTCCAGCATCCGGGCCAGACAATCCCTTCGTCCTCTGATATGTCCACAGCTTCAGCCTTTCTTCCTCCGCGGCCTGCTTCGCTGACTTTGCTCGCGAGCCAGGAGCACTTGAGTGGTGTCGAACCTTCTATCTCGCCAGACTTTCGAGCAGCAGTTCCTTCTTGCTTCGCGCTAGCTCGCATCTTCTGAGCCTGGCATGCGGTCCGATGCGCTCCATCAGATCAGGTGTCTCGTCACAAAGCCTCATCGAATGCAGTTTTCTTCTGGTCATAATCTGCTTTTCGCCTCAGCCGCACTCCTAATGCCTGAGGCCTGGTTCCTTAATGTGTCAACTTCGCCATGTTGCTATGTTTTCCACCGGGTTATGCTGAACTTTAATTACATTCCTGTAGTCACCGTGGCTTCTGACAATTACCCATAGCGAATGAGTTTGACAGCAACCACGCTTGGAGTTGTGTGAAGCTGAAGACGCGCAGAGAAAGAGAGACAAAAAAAAAACATAAGAGAGAGAGAGAGAGAGAGAGTGAGAGAGAGAGAGAGAGAGACAGAGAGAGAAAGAGAGAGAGAGAGAGAGAGAGAGAGCCTGCTATGTAGGGTTGGTGGCTCTGCTGAGATTGTACCTTGGATCTTCATGCGTGGCATGGGTGCATGGTACATCCACAGATTTGATGTTGCATAAGCATGGAGACGTGGAACTAGATCAGGGCCACGCCACATGAAGCTACCCGATCTAGTGTGATTGGAACTTTGAAGCAGAACTTGGCCAGCGCCGCGTACCTGCACTGACATGGCAAGAAGCTAATCCCGGAGCCTCTGTCGAACAGATTGTCAGCTGATCATATTCGAAAGACATTCCGCTGTGGAGTGCCATCATGTTGCGCTTGGAATTGGCAAACTAGGCTTGGCTGTGCGGCAACGAACTATGATGCATCGGAAGCTGAATCAAAGAGTGGCTGCGGCGCCAAAACCCAGGAGATGCGGATGCAGGAGAGGCAGCCAAGAGACAAACAGCCTCTCCATTTTTCTTGCTGGACGATTGGTTGGGGCACTGCGCAACTGCCGCCGTGTGGTCTGAAAGGCGGAGCTGCCACGACCACCCAGCCCAGACGCAGTGAGTCAGTCATACTCGAAGGACACGTCCGTGTAAAACCTAACACACGCGCTGCAGGGTGTGAAGACATGTATGTCATGAGGCTTTGCCATGTGGACAGAGGTGCCCAGTCGGGAGTTGCCCACAAGCGCTTGCGAGGTTGAGGAAGGCTGGCCATCAATGCAAAAACCAAGTGAAGGCCCACCTGGGATACATCAGAATCCCTGACGAAGTCAAGAGATGAGTCATCTTGACCCGTAGAAAACATATTGCTGCAAACGAGCGAGTCGAATGCCTTCAGATGTTTCTTCACTTTGTGTTTGGTATCAGGGACCGTGCCACCATGGTGAGATCGGTGGCGGTCTTTCGCATGTCAGTGCTTGGTGGCACCGCGACCCTCGTTGAGAGTTGGTTGCCAAACCTCCTCCAAGCCCACCTCAGTACGGTGGGCCGAGTGGAAAATTGAAGGTCTAATCATTCTACTCGGTTGCACCAGCACCTCCGTCTTCTCCACTGCGGAGCTTCAAGGCTCGTTGTGGACAGATGGGAGATGGCACTTTACGTTGCGAAAAACATCCGGGTGCTCTGTTTTGGAAGGTACTGGCACTGGCCAGTGGCTGGGAAGTGTTTATCCTGATATCCCTCATGACTGCACTCGAGAGATGAGGCTGCTGTCGGAGTGGACAGGGACACTGTCGAAGGCATCAACCTCTGCTGTGCCGAGGAATCCACACAGCCCCGCGAATGTCATGGCAAGCAAGGAGTATACCGCCATCGATGCCGAGGCACTCATCGATTTGGGAGCGTATGGAGTTCAACATTTGGCGGATGCTGGTGCTGTGCTGGCATGGTCTACTCTCCCTTTGCCGAGGGTGTGCTCGTGCCCCTCCGAACCACCACGCCAGATTCGTGATCAAGGTGTTGTGAGGGTTCTGGACTCGCCTCTGATCCCTGTGAAGCCGTTTTGGTGAAAGCTCCAAAGGAAGCCCAGAGCCCTGGCGCGGAGGTTGCGATTGCCCGGCGGCCTCTGAACCTACACGGTTGCTTTCTGATGATCTTCAGCTTTCTGATCTTGGGGGCAGGGAGTGTGCCCGTCTCTGCAACCACGGTAGCAAGCTCTACATGCTCTCGTGCCAACGGAGGAAATTCTAAGATCCACCATGGAGCCCATCGCAGAACCCACTGCAGCCCCGCCCCCACCGTTTGGAGCTCATGTCCAAAACCCGAGGAGCCCCTCCTACGGTCTATTCGCAGAACCCAATCTGCCGATACACGGAAGGAGCTTGGATCCTGTCGGATGGTGTGCTTTGAAGGGCAAGTCCCACCAGCAACGGACCCGGTCGCCTCTGAATACGAATTCCCAGCCGAAGCAAAAAGGCTCTCGTCCAATTGCGATTCTGGGTAATATTGGCTGGGAGAACCACCCCAGACAGACGTAGCTAGGAAGGTATCCAAAAACATGGCTCCTCCATACACGGCCCACGGATTTGCAAGAACGCGCAAGTGGCCAAGCTGGCTGAGCCTCAGGCCTTGTGGGATTGGTTGAACGGATGGGACGGCAGAGGGGTAGGAGCTGTTGATAGTCTCCGGTTCAGCTTAAAGCCTGAGCAGATGAGGAAGTGGATCCTTAACCTGAAATGGTTCTCCTCCCCCACGACGAGGGCCGCATAGTCCTTGGGGCACCCGTCCGAATGGCTCGGAAGTCGGTACTGACCTTGCCCACCACCAGTCGCAACCGTCCTTTTGAAAGCCACCACTTGAGCTGGTGTTGAGTCCGAAGAAGGTGTCATGCCCTCTGCAGAGGCATGCTGTAGCCGCCGGCATAGGGAAGATGTGACCTGTCCAAGATGCCCCGGACTGACATGGACCCTGAAGCCAGTACAGGTTCCACCAGACCAGGGGCCTCCCGCCATAGCTCGTGTGGCCTGAAGTACGGCAGAAGCCGCCAAATGTCGCTTTGTCGTGTGATCTCTCGCACCGACAACCAGAGGGACTGCAAAGCCGTGTTCAAAATAAGCCCGAGCACAGCAAGCAAGAGAAATGTCCTGCAGGAAAAGCAGGTCCTCATGATTGACCCGGCGACGACGTCCAACTCACAAAGACAAGAGCTGGTGCGAGAACCCAGGGCTGTGCCTGCACCAGATCATACAGAGCTGCATTCATCGGCCACAGGAACAAACAGAAGCCAGCTGATGCAGCAGCAGTTCATATTTACAATATGGCCTTACTCAACCAACGGACAGTTTTTGCTGCATCCAAACTGAGAAAACACGAGCTCGGGTTCATTATGTCCCAGAACTTTGTCAGGTTTCGATGGCCTCGAGTCCGAGTTGGAGTGCAGCAAGCATTGCAGGTAAGGAAGCGAAGTGTGACGTGATTTGTGCCGCGGAGATGAAGAGCGTTACTGAGGAACGGGAGCCCATTTTATTGCGTGTAGCAGTGGTTTGCGTTAACCGACCTCGTACTGCAACCTAGAGTTAAGTAACAACCGGGTTGGCAGCACTGCAAGCGCACTGTGCACCAGCTCTGAAGAAGTGGAGATGCTCTGCACCACCTTAATTTAAAGCAGTCTGGAGAAGGAATGTGGAAAGTCTGTATAATTACACACGTGCTCGCACTCCACATTTCCACCTCTTCCCAGTTGGACCTGCAGGGTTTGCATTCCGCGCTTTTCTCTTGGATTCATATGTAATATTCTGATTGCTTGACTGTTTCTACGTTCTCCCAGTTGACCTGGCTTCCCAGGGTGTGACTTACATCTTCCATGCCTGCAGCCCTGCACTTCCTATGATGCTTCTTGTCCTCCCGAATCAGCATGCTGCGGGCTCCTGATAAGCACCAATGTGCAGACGTGCATCTAGACTCACATAGCGTGTTGAAGTCCCATCAGCTTGCACGGACATGCTGACACGCTTGCGTGGAATATCCAGACACGTCCACGTGCAAGCTTGTTGGTGGCTCTGCCTGTTTTCACGGGTTCAGACTTCAGAGGAAAGCTCGGGTTGCAGCATTGAAATTAGCAGGAATTGGCGGAATTGGCTAGTTCGGTGCTGTGGGCACGGTTCCACCTAAACAGGTGGCCACGTGCCAACATGGCGAAAGGAAGCCGGGCTCGATTCGAACACGCGAGCTTGCTTAGCTTCGGCCCAGACTTGTCATTGATCTTTCTGGTTCTGATCTTCGCCTCCTCATCACCCCAGTACCTCAAAAACATCGGCTTCACAGCAGTGGTGGCTGGGTGTAAACTAGCGCACTTGTTGTATTGGAGTTTCTCCAGCTCCTCAACGAGCTTCTTGAGCATTCGTTCGATCTCTTTCCTGGCTTTCCAGATGAAGCAGACTCCGATTCGCCCTCGTATGCATTCCGTCCTGGAGAAATTGAAGATGATCGCTGGCATGATATCTTTTTGGTCAAGATCCTTGCAGAGCTTGAAGAGGGTCGAAGCCTTTCAGAGCTTGCAGAGCAGCCACAGCTGTGTAAGAACCAAGAAAACAGCAGCACCGTAACACCCGTTCAATGTTCAATGCCTGCAGGTAGGAAGTTTCCTTCACCAACTTCGTGAGGTCCACCTAAACCCAGTGTCGCGGCAGCGAGCCGGCCGCCGTGGTGAAAGCCATGTGCCCGCTCGTGCCCGCTCGCCGCTCGCCTCGTCGGTCTCCGTCCGAGGTGGCGGCTTGAAGCCTGCACCCCACACGAGCAAGAGCGCTCAACGAGGAGCAAGGCTTCAAGCTCTGGCAGCTCTGGGCTCTCAGACTTTCAAGCCCTGCGGGCTGCTGCAGGGCCATGGTGAGCTTTGAGAAGCCCTGCAGCGCACCGTGCCAAATTGGAATGCTTCGATACACCAGTGCACCGGCCCCACCTCGGTGCCGAGTACCTGCCACAAGCTGTGCCGATGCTGACATTGTCTGACTGTTTCTGAGCGCATCTTGGTCGAGAACGTCTGTAAACACAGCATCCATTCTGAAACATACCGTTTTTCAGGCCAGATCATCGCCCACGAGCTAGAGCCCCACTGCATGCAAACCGCTGTGTTAGAAGTGTCTGTGTCTGTGTCATATCTGCTTGAAAGACGTGTGATAAGAGAAGAGCGGTTATGTTGTACCTTCACACTGTGCAGAAGTCATGCCAGGCCGACATCATCGTGAAGCAGCTGCAAGAACGCTTCCTGCGACTTCTAAGATTTGTGTCTATGTCGAAACGAACGTTCTGTGTTGCACTTGCTTGCATGTCAGGTGACCCGTCCTTCAACTCCCTTTCATACCCCCTCGCATCGATTTTCGTAGCAAACCTCAGAAGACATGCAGCTTTCCAACTTCATACGGCACTTACTTGCTGAGCATTCTGCGCTTGACCCGCAAAATATTTTGCCGGAGACAGCCTGCAAACCAAAAAACTTGCTGCTCCACAAGAGTTCGTTCTGTGCTGGCCTGTCCCACTTGTCGTTCACGCCGATAATTCTTTGGACCTCGGCTTTAAAAAAGAAAGTACCATTTGTACAACACATTGCCGAAGGTCTGCCACGGCGATACTACAGCAACGGCCTCTTGGTGTAGTTGCACCATCTCCTGTCGGAGTCCAGAATATGAAAGAGCGATGTGTTTTAGGTGGCAAAAAATGAGAGCCGAACCCTTGGTACGAGGCTCAGGTCGGACGAGATTCCGTTTCGGCGCAGCGAGCTCTCAACGAAGCAGCAGAAAGGATGCAGCGGCCTCTGTCAGGCAACGCGTTTTGAAGTCTGCAGCACCTCTCAGCGAGCCTCAGCTTTCCTCCGACCCAAACATATTTGTACAGATCCTCGGCTGTAAGACGACAGCAGGGAGTATCTCAGACTTGCGCACACATGTTGCTAATCGCTGCTGTGCTTCATTCCATCGCTCACGATGCTCCACAATGCTTACCTCGCACCGATAAATCTGTAGTCAAACGAGACAGGAGAGAGAGAGAGAGAGAGAGACAGAGAGACAGAGAGACAGAGAGACAGAGAGACAGAGAGACAGAGAGACAGAGAGACAGAGAGACAGAGAGACAGAGAGACAGAGAGACAGAGAGAGACAGAGAGAGACAGAGAGAGAGAGAGAGACAGAGAGAGAGAGAGACAGAGAGAGAGAGAGAGACAGAGAGAGAGAGAGAGAGAGAGAGAGAGAGAGTGAGAGAGGGAGAGGGAGCGAGAAACATTCAGAGAGAGACAGACAGAGAGAGAGAGAGAGACAGAGAGCGAGAAACAGACAGAGAGAGACAGGCAGAGAGAGACAGACACAGAGAGACAGAAGACAGAGAGAGACAGACGGACAGACATACAGACAGACAGAGAGCGAGAGAGGTGTGCGTGTGTGTGTGTGCGCGTGTGTTCCGGCAGTCTCGCAGTTGCTACTGCAGGCTGCGCGGTGCAGGTGTAGGGACGTCCTTGATGTCTGATCAAGAGAAGCCGAAGCGACGTAAATCGCACAATGCGATGCACGTTCTCAAGTCCCTGAAGCGAAACGGTCTCCTTGGAGGTCTTCTTCAGCTCATTTACCCGGCCTCAATTCGGACAATGACGGAAAACGGCTGCACACCACATCCAATAACTTCCGCCTTCATTCATATGATATACCTTCACTTGCAGCAGGTTAGGGGACAGGCTCAGCCAGTTGTGAAAGAAGCTCGGATCGGACACCGTTGCGCTGAGGGCGATGAAAGGGCATGGAATCAACTGCAGGGCATTCACGGCTCACCAGTGAACATTCGTGATGCTTGTTGTCCCAGACCGTGCATCGCGCACCTGCATGCAATGCTCCCACTGCTCTCCACCTTCTTGCTCCCCGATGCAGTGCACCTGCCAAGGATCCCGCTGTCATGCTGCTGCTGAAATATCTAGTGGTGCATCTTCGTCACCTCGTCGAAGACCACGTACCGCAGTCTAGCCACCCAGTCCTGGCCACCACCCAGCTTCGCTGAGCTTGCGTTGCTGCAATCCTGTCCTGGTTCTCCGCTGAAAGCAGCAGCATCTCGAGGATGTGCGGAATGGTGACGAGCACCTGCATGGGGATTGCGCACATCTCCCATTGTCAGCAGAATCTCGGTCCTGCAAGCAGGAAACCAGAAGTGCACCTGGCACTGCTTCCACTTGCCAGCCTCCGCGACACCTCCGGCCTACAGTTGAGAACGCTAAGATGATATCCAGTCAAGACTTGCAGCACTTCAGTTTCGGCCATAAGCCACGAGCTGTATTGAACTCCTTGAGAAAAACTCCCAACCTTGGCAGCAAGACGTCAGTAATCATGAGCTTGTGCAGGAGAAAGCTGACGCGCTCATTGACTAAGGCAAGTCACAGTTCATGCTTGGAGTGGGCCGGGAATATCTTACTTCCAAAGCGCGCGTAGATTTCTGCACTCACCTGCGAAAAGCTCCGGTTAGCCGCCGGTACTACTTGGCAGAAACTTCGCAGATAGTGTCCATGGCATCTCAAGCATACACACACCGGCACTTTCTGCCTGATTGACAAGCGCTTTCGATGGAGCCACATAAACAGCAACACCCTCGTGATCTTCTCTGAGGACCTGTGCTGGAGGTTCTCATTTCAGCGGTCCACCCCTGGCATCGCGTGATATCGGGCACCTGATCCATGACATAGTAGCCAATGAAGGTCTTGCCGCTGGCTGTGGGCGCAACGACCTCGTGGCTCCAGCGGTCGAAAGGCACCCACGGAGAACGATGAAACCATTCGTAACATATCGCGATGGCACCAGTTGCACCCGAGTAACCAAGGCTGACTCGTTGTCGTCCACGATGTCTAGCAAGTCCTGCGCAGAAACTTCCGGTGCTCGAAACGTCTGAGATGAACCCTTACTGGCACTTGCGCAGGTCCCTCTGCCACTTGTCCGGCTTGAAGTTGACACGCTCCTTTGGATCCTTCAGCGCAGGAACTTGCAGAAGCTTTGTCGGCTCCCTAGCACCGCATCCAAAACGGCCTTGGCTGTGCCAACGAGACGTGTCATCTGCGGGCCCATGTGCATCAACCTTTGACGAAGCGAAGTCAGGTTCTTGCATTCAGGCCACAAGCACTTAAGGTCCGACACTTCCCACGGACAACCCCTAGAACATAGCGGGGTAACTGAAATGCATACTCATCGCTGCCGACACCGGACCAGCAAAGCTCCACCTGTCAACGACCGACAGAATCATCGTTCTCGGCCCTGCAGTCTGTCAAAGCAAAAGTCGCGCACAGTTTGACCTGCCTCCTTCTTGACCTCGAAGGAATCGAAAGGATCCTCCTGCATGTACACAAGCTCATCAGCTCGGTGCGTTGAAGAGGTTGAGAACTAAGGGGGGTGCTGCAGGCAAAATCTTGAACCTCTGGTTTTCAGCGGCTCCACGGGCACAACTACGGATCGTCCTTGGTGTCCTTGGAATCCTTTTTTTCTTTTTTCTCCTTTGGCAATGTTCTGTCCAGGTGGAATCCGGCAATGCTGAGACACCCTCTCCTTTTCCTTCTTTTTATCCTGACACAGTAGCCGGCAACAGGAGGCTGACAAGAGCTAAGAGCTGAGCCGCCTTTTTGTCGTCTTTCTCCTTACCTTTCTTGTCCTGCCAGGATGCACTCGGAACGAGGTGTAAGTCTGATGCGACAGCGTCATGTAGCTCATGGAGAGAACCACACTGGCCACTGGCTACAGCCCGTCAAGGGCAAATGAAGTGTTCCTCGCAGCAGAACATTACGCCCACGTGTAGGGCGGAGCATGCACAATCGTTGAAAGGTTGTTCACTTGCGGGTTTCGGCGATTTGGCCCAAGCGAGCTAATCACTCTGCCTTCGGTGGGTCGAGGGTGGGGCCTGCAGCTGTGTTGCAAGGATAGCTTCATGTTCACGTTGGAAACAGGCTTCCCCGACCATTCGGCGAGTTCAGAGGTGACTTAGCGAAGGAACGTCGCATGGTCGCTGCCTCCATTTGCAATCATCCTCCAGATCATGCGCAATGTCTCTGTTCGAAATTTGTGGCACCGGCCGGAAGGGTAGATTTTGCGCAGTCTTCCCGCAGGCCCACAACCGAGAACTAACAGGGCATTGCTAACAGCAGATGTACGGCAAACCTTCAACTCTTGGCAAAAAAATCCTGGCAAAGCCGAGAACCCAAAGGAAATAAGTGGTTCGGAAAACTGGCTCCATAAAACCCACAACCCTGACAGGAGATGATGGGGCCAGCCCGATGTCCAACAGGAGTGCAAAGGTCGTAAAACAGAAATCTGCAAAGGGGTGCCACATCCAAAACTTTGGCGAAGGATGCTAAATGCCAAGTGCCAAAACCCAATTAATGTGCCCTTAGAACCAACAACTCCCTGCAAGCAAGTAAACACTATTGGGAGCTGTTGTGCTCTGCGCGCCGAAACCGGGCAGAGCGGGGACCGGGACCCTCAAACAATTACAAGGTTTCAAGCGGACTCAACATGTCACAAAAATATTTTCACATGATGGCTGGCAAAGGAAAACACGAAGTACTAAAAACGTAGCTGGTTCTAGGCAACGGCAAACGCCCCAACTTTAAAACGAATCATGGGCCAAGCCCTCACAAGGGTGACAAGCTCCCAACACCCAAACCCTAGCATGAGATAAAGGGAAACCAACCCAACCCTCCAACTGGATGCCCCATGTGCTGAAAGTGAAGAGCGGACATTTCCCGAAAGCATCGCGAAGGGTTCTTCCGTGTGGAACGCCGCAGCTGAGTACATAGATGACAGACATAGAATCAACTTACTTGACTCCATACTTTACTTCACTCTACACTTGATACTTGACTCTACACTTGATACTTACTTACTTACTTACTTGACCTCTATGACTGACTCTCTACACTTGACACTTGACTCTATGTGATACTTGACTCTACACTTGATACTTGACTCTATGTTATGCTTACGACTTACTTACTTACTTACTTCACTCTACTTACTTACTTCACTCTACTTACTTACTTACTTGACACTTGACACTGGACTCTATGTTATGCTATCTCTATACTTACTTATACTTACTTACTTACTTACTTACTTACTTACTTACTTGACTCTATGCCTCTATGACTTACTCTCTACATCTCGGTATCTAATTCTCTCGTTTAAAGCCAGGGGGTGGCACCGTTGTCGTCCATCGGGAATGCAACCCTTCCCAGGGATTCGCCTCCTCGGGCGTTCAAACGCGAGGTAAAGTTACACATTTTAGGGTTCCCGCGCAACCCTTCCCAGGGATTCGCTGCCTCGGGCGTTCAAACGCGAGGTAAAGTTACACATTTTAGGCGCCCGGGTGAACCCTTCACAGGGATTCGCCTCCTCGGGCGTTCAAACGCGCGGTAAAGTTACACATTTTGCGGTTCCCGTGCAACCCTTCACAGGGTTTGGAACTCTCGGGCGTTCAAACGCGAGGTAAAGTTACACATTTTAGGCGCGCGGGTGAACCTTTCACAGGGATTCGCCTCCTCGGGCGTTCAAACGCGAGGTAAAGTTACACATTTTTCGCGCGCCGCGCAACCCTTCACAGGGATTCGCCTCCTCGGGCGTTCAAACGCGTGGTAAAGTTACACATTTTTCGCGCGCCGCGCAACCCTTCACAGGGATTCGCCTCCTCGGGCGTTCAAACGCGAGGTAAAGTTACACATTTTTCGCGCGCCGCGCAACCCTTCACAGGGTTTGGGCGCAGCTCAACTGCATTTTGCAACCCCTCACAGGGATTGGCATGGTCGAATGCACGAACGCGAGGTAAAGTCGCATTTTTTTATGTGCATTGAAATGATTTTTGCAACCCTTCACAGGGATTGGCGTGGTCGAGTGTTCGAACGCGAGGTAAAGTTGCATTTTTTGATGTGCATTGAGCTGAATTGTGCAACCCTTCACAGGGATTGGCGTGGTGGAGTGTTAGAACGCGAAGTAAAGTTGCAATTTTTTGATGAGCATTGAGATGAATTTTGCAACCCCTCACAGGGATAGGCGTGGTCGAGTGTTCGAATGCGAGGTAAAGTTGCAATTTTTGATGAGCATTCAGATAAATTGGGCGAACCATCAACGGCAACTTCAAGTGCTCGCATTGGTACATTGGTGCGGCGGAAGCGTAGTGATTCCCAATGCCTCGGTTCATCTCCTGGCCGCGACATCCTGTGAGCAGATAAAGGTTCATCGAGACGCAGGAGCTCCTCGATTGCTTGGCGGGTTAAATACTTCGCGGCATCTGGCGGGTTTCCTAGTGAAGTGGGGTGTTTCACTTCGGAACGGTGTCTTCCCAAATCCCTAATGGCTGCACTGCCTTCCGCTGCTGGACTCCCGGCGGCACGAGTCGCGCAGCGGCTCAGCGAGGTGGACCCGTTTGTGGTATAGGATAGATCTTAAATCCCCAATCATCCTTTGAGAGACCCGTGTTGTGACTGCCGCTTGGGAATGTTTGCCAGATGCCGCCAGGTTTCTTCTTCTGAGATAGTATACCTTGGGTTGATACACAGGGTGTCACCGAAGCCTGGGGCTCTCGATGAATGTCTGCAGCTAGAATCAATCTTTCTAGAGGAGGCTCTGGACCACCGTGATCCCTGCATTAGTCCTACTAGGCCCTCGTGGATTATCCGGTGTGGATAAACACGAAATAAGGACCCCTAAGCCCGTGGCGTTCCCCTGGAGTCTGTTGGGTCGGCTAAGAAACATACGCTGGCCTCTTGTGGTTTGAGATGAAGAGCGAAACCCTAATTCCCTGCTACTTTCAGAGACCAGTGTTGCGACTTCCGTTTGGGGATGTTCGTCAGCTGCCGCTATGTTTCTTCTTCCATGATACTATACCTTGGGTTGGTATAATGCATGCTATGGAGGCTCGGGGCTCCCGATGAACCTTTGCAACTACAATCAGCAGTTTTCATGAGGCTCCGGACCGCCGTAATCCCTGGGATGACCTCTCCCGGCACCTCCTCAGGCCGCGCGGCCCTTGACTCCCCGGTGAGCCGTGCGGGCCGCGAATTCTTCGCTCTGGCTAGGTTGCACCGTTGCTTGCTTGCTTCGACGCTGTCTTGCGAAAGAGCGAGCAAGCAACGTGGCGGCCTACTCTCACTGTAACTCTATGACTTTATGACTTATGACTCATGGACTCCATGACTCTTGACTGTATGTGCCTCTCGAGGTCCAGGTCGTGCTATGAGCCCTCACGCTATGGGGATCTCGATTAAGCGTTCCCACACATAGAGCATAGAGTGAACTACATCGAGTCAAGTGCATGGTACATAGATGACTCCATGACTCTGCGAGTTGATCTCACTATGACTCTATGACGCTATCTCACTGTAACTCTATGACTTTATGACTCATGACTCATAGACTCCATGACTCTTGACTGTATCTGCATCTCGAGGTCCAGGTCGGGCTATGAGCCCCCACGCTACGGGGCTCTCGATTAAGCGTTCCCACACATAGAGCATAGAGTGAACTACATCGAGTCAAGTGCATGGTACATAGATGACTCCATGACTCGTGACTTGATCTCACTATGACTCTACGACGCTATCTCACTGTAACTCTATGACTTTATGACTCATGACTCATGGACTCCATGACTCTTGACTGTATGTGCCTCTCGAGGTCCAGGTCGGGCTATGAGCCCTCACG